CTCTGAGAAATGTGACCAAAGATCTCTGGAAAGCGTTGGACCATGTGCTTGGAGCTGATTCCCAGCCTTCCCAGGAAGGAAGAGACTGATGTGGGCTGAGGGAGAGGACAGGGTAGAAAGGAGGGTACTTTTCACAGTTCCAGGGTGTCCCCAGCTGGTGATGCCAGTGTCCTCCTTGGTGCCAAGTATCTCCATGTGTCACCCGGGGTGAGTAGGGACCCAGCAGGCAGGATGGATCTGATTCCCCTTTTTTCTTGAGCAGTAAGGAGTTCATCTGTAAGGATGCACACCGCGCCATTACACTTGTCTTCAGAGCCACAGGTCTGTAGTTTAGCAGTCAAAGGCCTGTTCTGGTTCAATGTGAATGGGCCAGGAAAATGTGAGAGCCAGAGGTCCTTCTGACTGTCCCCTTGTCCCCTCCCCAGATCACCACTGAGCATCCTCAGCCTCTGCCGTACGCCCCTGCACCATGCTTCTGCCCGGTGGCTGTGCTGAGCTCTGCTCCATTTCTGACAGGAATAACAGCCTGCTGATGGGCAGTGGCAGCCCTCACTTCTGTCTGGGAGCGTGTCCTGCTTGCTGTAACTATAACCCCATCTTTCAGTCAAAGCCTTAAAGGGCACTTCACAGAGTTACCTTTCACCAAGATCCCTCATTCAAGATCTGCTCACAATGTTGCCTGTGTCCTGCTGCCCCTCTGCATCAGCTCTCCAGACTCTCCTGCCTGATTTCAGTTCATTGATGTAACACTGTCCCAGGAACGCTCATTGCCTTTCCCAGTGCTCTCCCAGACACTTCCATTAACAAGCAGGAGCTTACACTGAGAGCGGCTTGCCCTGACCCTGCCCTTAGAGGACCTTCCTAGACTACTGATCCTCACATCTCTCCATCATTCCCATGTCAGCTACATCAGCCCTGTTTTAATTCCATGAGAGATCTTGCTTCTTGCTGAAGGACATCTCCGTGGCCTTTAATCCTTTGAGATCACTTCACAGGACTTCAAACCATCACAACACTAAACCCAGCCAGCACTGAGGCTTCCCCAGTCCTTCCACCCTTTGCAAAGGCAGGGGTGTAAGAGACATAAAAGTAACCTTGATCACACAGCTCCCGTGCCACTGGGTCCCCATGGGGGCAATGAGGCACTGGGATCACATCCAGCAGTTTTCAGATGTCAGCTTCCCAATCAGATGTTCCACATTGGCAGCACAACTGTCAGCAAAACAGAAATGAGCCTGTGCACTTTCAGGATAAGCCTCTTCCCAGTTTCTCTCCATGAAGGGGGATTGCATCAGATCTGGATCCTGGGACAACCTCTGACACGTATGGTTGTGTTTTCAGGGCTCCTCTACAGATCTCTTTTCTAAGCAGAAAGTCTCTGCTTTCTGTCACAAAGCAATAGGTTTTTCTGGGGAGTTTTAAAAAGGACACTTCCCAACTCTGATACTTGCAGGCAATCCAGTGCTCTCTTGAATACCATCGTAACTCCAGTTCTGGGCTCTCCTTCAAAAAGCAATGTGAGGCCAGGTCTGGCTCCATATTAGGAATGTGAAAAATGTACGAGCCTGGTGGTCCCCATTCCTTCAGAGAGCCCACGTCCAGCAGGCAATCAGTGTGGGTCCCTGGGATGTGTGGACCATCCTCCTTTGGTGCCCATCCCATGACTGTTACTGGGTGCCTGCAGCCAGTCAGCTCACTGCAGATCACTGACATGGGAGCCGCTGGGTCCCCAGAGGTGTCTGAACCCAAAAGTCATATTTGATGACAGCCACACACCAATGGGAAACAAGGCTTTCCCATTCCTGGGAGCCAGGCTGTCCTAGGAACTCGCTCAGAGAAGAAGATGCCCATGGTGGCACACAGGTTCCCTTCCAGTAGCCGAAGGGAGCAAACATGTCCAGGTAGAGCTCAGACACCGGTGCAAAAACGCACTGCCGCCGGTGCCAAAATGCTGCACAACTGACCAATGAGTCTATGCAGTCCTTTCCCACACAGCAGTGTCCCTGCAGAGCCCAGCCCAAGGAGGCTGGGTCTCCTCCGAGGTGTCTTTGTTTGCACTCATGTGGACCCGATAAATGCTGTGAGCTGAGAGGTGGCCCTTCAGGACTCACTCTCAGCCTTCACCTTGCACAGGGCAGTGCGGTTGCGAGGGTTTCCTCATCCAAAATAGATGCACGTTCTTAGTCACTGGTTTCTGTGTCTCTTCTCCAGGAGAATAGGCCCCTAAAACCCAGTTCCCCAATAGTGGGATGTCAGGTTGGGCGAGCCTGTGCCCCAAGCAAGCCTGTTGTCTGATCTCACCAGCAATAAAAGCCCCGTGGGAGAGCAGCCAGAGCTTTCCAGGCTGTGTGTGTGTGTGTAGGATCTCTGCATCAGACCCTTTGTCCAACGTTTTGGACCTGCCTGACTGTAAATTCAACCCCAGCCTTGTGCTTCCCCTCCTCTGTTTGTTTCTTGAAGCCTCGATCTCTCTCTGCTCTTACTGTGAATTCAAACCAGAAGTGTTCTGAACTCGACTCTGTTACTGTTTGTTCTGCGTTGACTGTTGCTGGTTCTCTGAACTGCGTTTAACGAGACTTTGCAAAAAAAAAAAAAAAAAGAATAAAGAAAAAAAAGAAAGAAAAAGAAAAAGAAAAAAAAATTATATATATATATCTATATATAAACTTAAAAATAAAGTATTTAAAAAGAATTCCATAAGGTTGGGTGTCTCTCCTGTCCACCAATCACTTCCAAACACTGTTGTCTTGACTTTGCCTCTGGTCAGTGTATTTAAAGAGAAGAGGTTGAAAAATGAAAGGATAAAATGCAGCATTCTGGGGTTTTTTGTGCAGCGAAGGTGTATCCGTTTAGAAAACTCTTGTTAAAACTATACCACACTTCACAATCTACTGCTAGTCTGTTATACGTTTCCATGGGGTTATAAAGATGTGAAGAGCTACTGCCTTTGCGATTTTCTACAGTGAATATATATATATCTGTACAGAGGTATGTATATATATAAATATATATGAAGATCTATATGTATACGTATCTCTCACTCTCCTATCTCTATCTGACTGTGAAGGATTTTTATTGAGCAAAATAAAATGGAGAAAGGCCCCTTTTAAAAACCTGACTGTGTGGCTTGCCTGGTTGTGTTGCAAATGGGAGAAGCAGCAAGACCATGAGGGATTTTGGGAGGGACGTGGGCTGGGGAATGGTGCTTGGGGGGCTACCTGGAGATGGCCCCATAAGGGAAAGCCACACCAGGACAGCCAGACTCCTACTTCTTTGTAGCCCATTAGAGTGGGATGAAAGCACAGCCCAGAGGATGAGGAGGCAGCTGGCATCATGGAGGAGAAGGGGATAAGTGGAGCAGAGTGGAACAACGGACGTGTCCATGTCTTTCCCTCCAAGCAGATGGTCATCTCCAGTCCTGCATTCACAGAATCATAGAATCATAGGATGGTTTGGGTGGGAAAGTACCTTAAAGCCCACCCAGTCCCAACCCCTGCCATGGGCTGGTTGCCCCACACCAGATCAGGTTGCCCAGGGTCCCATCCAACCTAGCCTTAAGCACCTCCAGGGATGGGGTGTTTCCCGGGGCACAAGGGCTGCTCAGGCTCTGCATGAATTTGAGAGCAATCATCACAAGCTGGTGGGCAGCACAAACCCACGGTAGTGGCAGCGATGGTGAGACAGGAACATGTGATGGACATGGTTTAATGGGCATGGTGGTGATGTGTTGATGCTTGGACTATATGATTTTAGTGCTCGTTTCCAACTTCGATGATTTTATGATTTGTTTGAGGTCTAACCTTGGCTCAGTCTAGATGGGGATGCTCCACAGCTGTCTGAGCAGCACCTCTCATAGACGTCGTGTCTCTCAGCACTCAGATGGATCCAGTCCCCTCCATGTGGGCAACTGATTCACTCCCAAATCAATGGAGAGGTCCAGAGGAGAGCCACAAAGATGATCAGGGGGCTGGAGCACCTCCCCTATGAAGACAGGCTGAGGGAGCTGGGCTTGTTCAGCATGGAGAAAAGAAGGCTGTGGGGTGACCTCATTGCAGCCTGCAGTACCTAAAGGGAGCCTACAGACAGGAGGGGAGTCAGCTCTGTGAAAGGGTTGATAACAGCAGGACAAGAGGAAATGGTTTGAAGTTGAGGGAGGGGAGATTGAGGTTGGATGTCAGGGGGAAGTTCTTGACGGAGAGAGCGGTGAGGTGCTGGAACAGCTGCCCAGAGAGGCTGTGGATGCCCTGTCCATCCCTGGAGGTGTTCAAGGCCAGGTTGTTTGTGGCCCTGGGCAGCCTGGGCTGGTATGAAATGGGGAGGCTGGTGGCCCTGCATGTGGCAGGGGGTTGGAGCTTCATGATCTTTGAGGTCCCTTCCAACCCTGGCCATTCTGTGAATTCCTCCCACATCAAGCTCTCACGATCACACTCAAGGCTGATCCAAAGCCACTGGGACGTCAGGCATTACTGAGATAAAACTGGAGTGATGTGTTCCTTCATACTGAGCTTGAATGCGAGCAGCCCATCCAAACTTGAATGAGACCTGAGGTGGGGACGCCGTGGGGATGACACAACCCAGATAGAGATGTCAGCCATGGCCCTGCAGAGGCTGCTCAGCACGGAGCGGGGGAGGCTCAGGGGGATCCTATCCACGGCCATAAAGCCCTGCAGGGAGGTGCAACGGGACGGAGCATGGCTCAGTGCAGCGGTGACACAACTTGGAGTCCAGGAGCAACCCCTCAGGGCAGCCCCGAAAAGCCCCAACATGGCGGCACCCCGCTGAGGTAGCTCGGCGCCCTTGTCACGTGCCTCTAGCAGTGCACCACGTGACTCTGGTACGGCGCTCCGCCGCCGCCATCTGCCGGTACCGCGAGTCACTCTCCCTGCCTTCACCCCTCCCCTCTCGGCTCCCGTACGACCGGAAGTGCGTCACTATCAGGTGGCCGGAAGTGGCGGTGGGGCTGGCGGGCGGCAGGGCCACAGCCGGCGACGGCGCCGGGCCCCGGTGAGTGCGAGCGGGCTCCGGCCTCGGTGGGGCTGTGCGGGTCTCAGCCAGGAGCGGGCTGGGGATCGGAGTGAGGCGGTGAGTGGGGCTCCGCGGCCCCAGCTGCGGCCACGGCGGTCCTCAGGCCTGGAGGCGTTCGGGGTGGGCAGGGGCGTGGGGGAGCTGGTGAGCGAGCCGGGGTGCAGAGGCGGAGAGAAAACCTCGCTGCTCCCTGTCGAAGGGGAATGGGGGCGAGGTGCGGTCTCTGCCGCTGGGAATCGATGGAACCCGAGGGAACGGCGTGGAGCTGCGTCAGGGGAGGGGGCAGGAGGAGGTTACAGAAAGGCTCTGCCTCAGAGCATGGAACAGGCTGCATGTGGCAGTTGGCATGGCCCAGAGCTGGGACACGGAACCGCCTGCTGGTTTGAGTGGTGCTATGTGGAGCCAGGGGCTGTACACAGTAGTCCTTGTGGGTCCCAGCCAGCCCTGGATATTTCATGATTGCGTTATCGCTGAAGGTCCCTTCTAGCTGAACGATCCTATCCTAAGCCATTCTCATTTGAGCAGATCTGATGGGGAAAAACAGAAAGAAAGGGAGCCGTAATATTTTTTTTTTTTTTCCTTTGCCTGGGCTGCTGGGCAGGAGGAACACAGAATGAGGCCTTACTATCAGGGAAACGTATCTGTGAGCCTGGATCACTCACAGACTTTCCAGTGGTACAGTGAGGCTGTTTGGGTGTTTCCAAAGAATGTATTTCAGACTCAGATGCTCCCCTCTCACAAAGCTGGAACCCAGAAGCATGTGGCATCTCTCCAGGAATGTTGTTGTCCTGGTGTTCAGCTCCCTGTTGGCTGGGAACTCAGCTGTAAGAATGGCACAAGCACAAACACAAAGATGTTTCCATCCCAAAAGGCCTCCACAAAGAGCATTTGCAGCCTGCAGGGCCCATCTCCAAGGCTTTGCAGCCTTTTTGGAGATGAGTCACTGGGAGTGAATTTTCTGGTTAGTGGCAGGGATGGAAGGGAGCTTGAACACTATTAAATGAGAATTGCAGTGGTGGGAGAAAGAGAGGCTGATTACTGTGAGTAGCAAGAAGAGAGTAGAAATGAGCAGAGATGTAGGTTGAGTTGGAAATGCTGTAGAAATATAGATCATAACAAGTTTGGGCACTTGAAGATGGGCAAAAAGCCACGTGGACGTGCTTGTTCCTAAGGTGCTTCAAGTATCTTGACCCATCTAGCTTCATTCCTGCTTTGTTTTCTGCATGGTCTTTTCCACGGCTGTTTTGCTGAATGTGGGACAGAAGAAAGAAAAAATATACTTACTGAATGTCTTCCTGAAGACGTCATGGAGCTTAATGCTAAGCTGTGTGGATGATATTCTTAGCTACATGCAGCATTTGCCTTTGGTGTGCAGACGCCACGGCTTTGATTCTCTGTCTCTGAAGCAGGGCTGTCATTGCTGAGAGGGGGTGGTTTTGGTAACAGTGCAGTGCTGGGTTTTGTAGGTGGCATCACCTTTTAACAGCAAATAGAACATGTTTTAAAGATGTGGCTCAATACTGCTTGCCTGTCAATAGTAGAAAACTGGATAGAAAACGTGCAAAGCAGAGTCAGACAAGAAAGTAGCCAGCAGAGATGGAAATTACATTTTAATCTGACATTTATATGCAATAAGCTGGAGAGCTTTGAAATCCTGTGCTTTCTTGCTGCTGCTTACAGCACTGGGAGTGGTGTTGCACTGGGCAGGGTTTTAGTGGCCCAGTTCTCAGCGAGCTTCTTATTTCCCATGCTCGCCAGGCAGTAGTATGGAAAGGACAGTATCTCTCCTCCTGTCACAGTGTCACTTCTCATGCCAGAAGAGAATATTTCCGTTTTTCTGCCTGGCTCCTTGCACAGGCTGGTGGAGAGGACTCAGAGAACTAAACTGAACCACTCTGCTGTGTGCTAGGAGAGTGGATCTGGAGCCCTTGCCTGCCTGTCCTGCTCCTTTCTTCTTTGCAGACAGTGGTTGTGATGCTGCATCTGGTGAGCCCTTTGCAAAGCAAATGTGTGTGTGCCCTTACCCTCCATCTTCTTCCTCTCCTCACTGTTGTTCTTCCAGAGGCAGGATGTTACGTGCTGTGCCATGGCATCGAGGAAAAGAGAAGCTGAGGGCTCCAAGAGCTTGTCCTTGAGCGCTTCCAGCTTTTCCTACGCTTTTTTATTTCTTCTCAATTCTGTGTGGAGATGCTTGGACAAAAGCACAGCCATGTCGAGGCTACGTGGTGAGAGAACAGCCTTCAGAGAGCAGCAGGCTGCTCGTGCCTGTTCCAGAGCACAGATGTGCTTCCTGCCTATTGCTGTTACTGCGTTTGCAGTAACATGGCGTAGGAGTGACAGCAGCGGCTACTGCAGGGAACCCCCAAGCAGGCAGCACTCTGCATCTGGCACTAACAAGGAGCAAAGTCTGTTGCTTAGACTCTCCCCAGCATCCCTCCCTCTTTTCTTACCTTCCTTCTCTATTTTATTCTCTTTGGAAGGAGCTGATGCTTCACCATTGTGCTGGAATAAATCACCTGGTGGCTTGTGCGAGCCTTGTACTCGAAACGAAATCCAGTTCATGTTCAACCAGACCCCACTGCAGCTTCTCTCCTACTCTGCAAAAACAGTATTCATCACACCTCTTCCTCATCGTCCTGCTGTAGGATTGGGTTTGCCTGCTCTCACAGGGCGTCTCAATCCACCTCTAACTCAGGGAGTGTCTGCGTTTGATTTATTTCCTCAGTGTTGGGAGGACAGCAGCTAATGCATATCTCTGTTGCCGTGTCTCTGCCAGGCTTTGGTTTTCCTGGTTACTTGACACCCCTTGGTTCTAGCATGTGCCCTCTGTGCAGTGAGAGCACAAGTGATTTTAAAGGTGAAAACCCCTGCTGTGCTTCATCCTTGGTGTTGGACACCCGAGATGGGATGAGGGTGTGTTACACAGAGAGCTGACCCAGAGCTTTTTTTCAGCCTTGTCTGAATCATCGTAAACAGGCTCATTTGGCAGCTTGTGCATGCTGGCAGCACAAAGCTTAACTCCTGACAGATGTCTCATCCTCGCCCTTTCTGCTGTAGCTGTTATAGACAGGAGTTGGGAAGGCACCCCCTAACACTGGGAAAAGCTCCTGTGCCTGAAGAGTAAAGCTTTTATCCCTCCAGTTCTCTCCTCGAGACACAGTGTCTTGTTCTAATCTGTGTTTCTTCTTCCATGCTCTTTCCCCACGTTGTTCTGCGGCTGTTTCTCCTTCCTGCTGCAGGTTATGGGCAGCCTCCCTTCCAGCATGAGCTGGTCTCAGAGGCTCTTTGCTCTCAGCCTTCATGTGCTGACTCCAGGTGTTCTCGTGCAAGGAGCAGAGTGGCACCACAGATACTTCCACAGCTTCTTGGGTGGTGGTCGGTGCTTCATACTGCTGACCGAAGCAGCAGAATGCCCTGTTTGAATACATGCAGCTGCAGCCTTTAAAGGCTTTGCTACAGAACTACGTTTTCAATGTTGAAAATAAAAGAAAAGCAGTTTGGGTCTCTTACAGAATGACAGAGATGACTTTTTCCCCCCGAAGTCCTACAGTCTCTGCCAGATTACTTGTAACTGCTGTGTAGCTGGTGATACCTGCCTGCCAAGTACCACATCTCCAGGTGTGTCAGGCCACCTGCGTGCTTGTCTTGAGCTGCCTTTGCATGATGTAATGCTCAATAGTGACTTGCAGGGAAACAGCTGCTCTCACTAAGGGAGGCACTGCCATCTCTTAACTTTCAGTAATGAGAAGGATAGGTTAGAAAGTGCTCCATGTTAGGTGGAAGCCACTCATTCTTCGTCTGCCCTTTTTTCAGTACCTGGAAGCAATTGTGACCCCAGTAAGTTGTGATCCATGGCTACGGTGTTAATACGCCGAAGATTTCCAAGGCTGAGCAGGGTGACTACATTTTTGACTACTGCCAAATTCAAGGCCGAGAGCGGAAGCAACGAAAGTAAGCAGGAGGAAGAGAACCCAGAAACATCCAACAGCAGACCCGAATCCACAGCCACGATCCAGTTGCTGGATCCTTTGGACTACAGAGTGTTGTATAATCCCTCTGCCTATGCCAAGAGCAGAGCAGCCTCCCAGCAGAATGCTGCTAGGAGCTGCAGCCAGGCTCTCACTGATGATTCCACCAGCACTGGCACCTCCCAGGTTCAGCATACATTCACTGCCACCTCTGCTCAAGCTTTGCCACCTGTCAGAAATGCCCTGCCAAAGCCCAAACCGCACCTCATACAGCCCATACCAGCACAACTCTCTGCAGCACAGACCATGAAGAAGGAGATAGAAATGGAAAAAGCAGAGATGCACGACTCCAAGGAGGACCCTCGTGTGTTCCAGCAAGGGAGGCCTGAGTACAAATCTCTCAGCTATGATAAATTTGAGCCAATAGAGACCCTCTCTTTGGAAGAAGGTGACTTGATATTGCACAGCATACCCATATCCAAGGGCAGCCACAGCCCAGGAACTGTCACAGATTATTTTTGCAAGCTGAGTTGTTTGCCAGTGGAACGACACGCAGGGTTGATGGTTGACCCCAGGTTTAATACACTGTGTTGCTGTGCTATTGAGAACATCCAGTCGTTCAGCACTTCAGAACTCACTGATATCTTAAAGGCCTGCGTTCGTTTGGTTGTTCCACCCACCCACCCTGTGCTGAACGCCTGCGAGAGTGAATTCTGCCGGCGCGTGTGGGACATGAACCTGGACCAGCTGCTGCTGGTGGCAGATTGCTGGCGCTGCCTGGGGCGCAGCGTGCCTTCCTACCTGAGCATTTTGTTCAGCTATGCCAACATGCATTGGACAGAGCTCACTTTGCCCCAGTTTGTTCAGCTTGTTTATATCATCGGCGAAGGCCGCAAGTCACCCGCGGACTTGATGCAGAAGCTGGAAAGTGTGATTTTGAAGTACTTGGATTCCTGCACCTTGGAGGAGGTGGGTGCTATTTGCTTAGGGCTCTTCAAATCCGTCAGTGGTATCTCTGACCACGTCATGAGAAAGATTGCAGACAGAGTCTCCCTGGAGATGGAAGATATGGGCACTTACGCTTTAGTGAACGTGCTTAAAATGCTCCGCTACACTCGCATGGATCACCTGCCCCTGCTGAGGAAACTTGGGAAGGTTGTCCCTGCTCGAATTCCTACAACAAACATCCAGGGTATCATGCACATCACTCTTAGCTGTTCATCCCTGCACTACTACGATGAAGGCATTTTGGCTGCTGTCGCCGCGTCTTTGCCTTCCAAAGTGTCTTACTGCCGCAGCAAGGATGCTGCCAAGTTCTTATGGTCGTTTGGATGCCTGGACTACGAACCTCCAAATGAAGAAGAGTTTTACTCCAGCCTGATAGAGCAGATGCTTAGAAAACGCCATGAATTTGAGAAGTTTCCAGAGCATCTCCTTACTGGTTTGCTTGGCCTGGCATTCGTCAAACGCTTCCCGGAGGAGCTGATAGATTATGCTTTGAGGGATGAGTTTGTCCATAAGGTGAGAGGAAGTAAATATGAACTCAGAAAGGACCTGTTCACTCTTGGGAAGAGTGTTGAAATTGAGTGCCCAGGCTACCGAGGCAGCCGTCTTTCACCTCACCTTTATGAAGAGATGACTGAGATCGTTCTGAATTTTGCAGAGCAGGAAATCTTTGTCAGGCCTGAAATCGTGGAAGCCGTGTCTCTTCTCAAGAGCATGTTAGGTGGTCCTGAGTATGTGAAAAACCACATGATTTTGCCTCACACCAGATCGAGCGACTTGGAGGTTCATCTGGCCATGGATGGGCATCCCATCCCTTTCAACTCAAGCGACGCCGTTGCAGATAAGAAGCTCAAAGACATAGGAGTTAGTCTAACAGATGACCTAATGGCTCAGCTTATCAAAGGGAAATCTAACAGCCAGTCCTCTGCAGAGGTGGAAACCGAAGCCGCGGCTCCTAGACAGGAGTGGAACAAAGCACCAACGCCACGTGCATCATTTGTGGGTGGACCCGTTACCACAGGCACCAGATTGCAAGTCGCTGCTCCATCAGGGAGCTGCCCTGGGGCCTCCCCTTCTCTTGTGCCCCTCCAGCAGCCCCAGGGGATAAGGCTGGCCATCCAGGTGTCCAACCGTAACCACTACTGCTACTTGTCCAAGCGGCTCTTGGGGCTGCACTGCCTGAAGAGGCGGCAGCTGAAGCAGCTGGGCTACGTGGTGGTGGAGCTTCCCTTCTGGGAATGGTTCCCCCTGCTCAAACGCACACGCTTGGAGAAACTGAGCTACCTCCATTACAAGGTGTTCAACCCAGTGCTGCTCAGCAAGGCTGGCTGACAGCCCGGGGTGTGCTTGCTTGGGGGGCTGCTGCAGCCTCCCACGTGCTGGTTAGAAATGATCTTTGGAGTGCTGGTGAAGCTGCTGTAGGTGCTTTATGTGCTGGATCTGCCTTGTCTTAGATAATTCTGCTCTGTTCATGACCACGTGTCCCGTGCTCCTTGTTGTTACATCGATCTGCAAATGCTGCCGTGACAAATAAAACCTACCTTCATATTAATTTTCTTCCATTATTACCTTTTTCCCCCCCCCCCTCTATTCTTCATGAAAGCCGATGGATTTGTTTGCTCTGAGTGCAGAACAGTGTCACGATCTTTAGGAAAACAATTGGGATAGATGTTAGGGATTGGTCTGTTCTCCCAGGTAACCGTAGGACAGGAGGTAATGGCCTCAAGTTGTGCTCCAGGGGGTCAGGTTGGATATCAGGAGAAATTTCTTCCCTGACAGAGAGGTCAGGCATTGGAATGGGCTGCCCAGGGAGGTGATGCAGTCACTGCCCCAGCAACCATGGAGATGTGGCACTGAGGGCCATGGTCAGTGAGCATGGTGGGGGTGGGTTGGGGTCTTTGAGTCCTTCGTAATCTTTGAGCTGTTTGTTTTGCTGGGTTTGTTTTGCTGTTCTGTGGGTGTTGTGCTTTAACAGCGTTTGTAAATTCAGAGCCTCCTTATGTCACAGCTGCCTGGGCTGTCACTGACAATTGTTTTAATTGACAGAGGTTACGAAGAGCTTGGTAGAAAAAGAATAACAGAATCATGTGATCTCAGTAACAGCCTCAGGTTTGGAAGGAGCTTTCCCATGTTGTTGGGTCACAATGTGACTCTGTTCCAAGGAGTGGCTTCTGTCACCTGGTTGGCACCAGGCAGCACACTTGCAGGACCCCCAGGGGCTTGGGAACCCCCACAAGCAAAATTTCAACAGCAACTTGTGGGAATGAGGTCTCAAAACATTGAGTTTGCAGCAAGGTAGGGGTGGAGGTGCCTCTCTGCTCATTTTCATTTAAAGAAGGCATCACCATGGCTTGTCACGTGCAAATGCAGCAATCTGCTCTGTTGGAAGGGGATGTGGGAAAGGGCTAAACTGACAGCAGGTTCAAAATGAACTTCAGAGCAGTCGCTTTGTCACACAGCAGAGTTACTGCCATTAGATGTGAGTGCCAAAAGTCAAAGCAGTTCAAAAGCCTATTTGAGAAAATTCCTCGCTGCCTCCCTTGTAGCAATGGGGAACGCATCAGGCTCAGAAAGGCAGGAAAAGTGATGCTGGAGGAGCTTTGGTTCATGCTTGCCCAGCACCTGTGTTACTGCAAATCACTATCAGAGAAGATTCTGGGGTAGAAGAGGGGCTGATACGAGTGTGGAGTCACCATCTCCATGTGGGGACTCAAGAACCACTGAGGGATGTGGTTCAGTGGCACAGTGGGGATGGGTTGGAGTTGCATTTGGTGATCTTAGAGCTCCTTCCTGACATTAATGATTCCATGTTTATTTGAACACTGCCACTCGGTCTACAACAGGGGAATGGAAATAGGTGGTCTTTAAAGTCCCTTCCAATCCAAGCCACTCTGAGCTGTACCTCAGATGCTGAACAACAGCACTTGAGAACCAATAAAAGGCTGTGGAGCATTAAAAGGCAGCTCGTCCTTGAAGGAAGCAGGAGGTTCCTGAGGTCTCCTGAGGCAGTGACATATTAAAACTGAGGTTAATGTAAGGTTAAAGCTCCTACCTCGCAGATAATTTCATTCTGAAAAGGAGTTGGATGCAACCAATGCGAGTCATGTTCTTTCAATGAAGATGGTGCACACACTTGAGCACTGTCAGAAGAATCATCTCAGTGTCCAGAACACAGATAATCTCCCTTAGAGCTATTAAATGCTCCCTTGGGGCAACCAGTAATGGTTATTAACATTGGTGTTTCATCTTTGCCTGTATCCAAGGCTCCCTGAGCCCCTGGGAACCACATCTCCTCATGGCAGCACTGGGAATGGCTGCTCTTACCCTCTTGGAGCCTTGGCATGCAAGTGGTCTGCTCGACTACGGCTGCCAAACCTCCCGCAGTTAGCATTCAGATCTGATCTAAGCACCTTCTTTAAGCATATGTAGGAGGTTTTCAGTAAAAAGAGCCATTTTCCAGCTTCTGATGTTTCTCCAGGGGTTCACAACTTAATATTTTTAACACATTTCTCTTCCCATTCCATCTCTCCACAGTTAACGTTGGCCTCACCTCCCAGACTTGGATCCGAGCTGTGTTTCAGGAGCTCCTGAGCCTGTAATTCATGCAGGTGCTGTAACACAAGGTCCTTTTACAGATCACTGATGCTTTTTGCCTTTCTTTTTTTAAAGCTGAATCCGATGCTCACGAACTGAGCTCTCTCCAGCTGCAAAGATGGTAATAAACGTCTGTCTCCCACAGTTCAAGCCAAGAATTCACTGCAACAAGGTAAAACTGGAGACCACGGTACTTTAGGGAGCACCTTGGTTTGCCTTTCCTGTGCTTTTATTAATTAACACTAACTAGTAGTTATGCTAGAACACTGGGTGGCCTTCTGTGAGTGCTTTGTTGTGGCACACAGTAATTATTGAAGGATATATGCCCTAATTTTGCAGGATCTCATAACAAGATGACGTTATGTGCTTACAGATGTGCATGCTTTGACTGTAGATGTTCTTCCCTGCAATGTCACAGCTTTCCCTTTGCCAAGTAGACTGTGCATCAATTGACAGTGTTTGTTGAATGGCCTCTACTCATTAATATGAGGACTGACACAGAGCTTTCTCAGTGTTGGGCAGGTTGACCTCAAGCAGGATGAGGCATTCTGCTAGCTGAGCCCAGAGGTTTTGCAGGGATCCTGGAGCTGGCTGATTCAGAGTACATTTTTACAGGGCACGATGAGCTGACATAGCTATTCAGTGCTGTTGAAATGGGGACAAGATATCAGGGGGACATTCATTGCTATGAGAGTGGTGAGGGGCTGGAACAGCTGCCCAGAGAGGCTGTGGATGCCCCGTCCATCCCTGGAGGTGTTCAAGGCCAGCTTGGATGGGGCCCTGGGCAGCCTGGGCTGCTATGAAATGAGGAGGTTGGTGGCCCTGCATGCAGCAGGGGGTTGGAGCTTCATGATCCTTGAGGTCTCTTCCAATCCAAGCCATTCCATGATTGTAGATAGCAGAGGGTGCAGAGAAGAGGGAGTGACCCCATGTGGTTGGGAGCAGGGCAGGAGTAGATCTGCAGGGATCTCCAGTCTTGTGCATGGAACCACGGTTCCTCACTTGTGTCATCTAAATTGCTCGTGAAATTAGTTCACTCTCTACATTCATTCTTCAATGTAAATTTGGCTTTCTCTTGCAACGCAGATTTCTGCTGATGGTTACGAAGTGGAGAACCTGATCTCTGAAGACCTTGCCAGGAGGAATCGTGGTTTCCGCAGCGAATACTTTATCAAGCCTCCGGTCCATGTCACAATCTCTTTTCCCTTCAACATTGAGATCTGCAGGATTAATATCGATATCTCATCTGGGGGATACCAAGCCTTCTCCGGGCTCGAAGTTTACACCTCTACCTCATGCAATAAAACCTCTTGGCAGAGCCCCGAGGGTCAGTTCTCAGGTCTGGCCGGTCAGCCTGTGTCGGACAAAGATGTTTTCACACTGGTGGGCAAAGCTGTCTTAAAAAATCAAAGCAAAGTGACATTTGGCCACAGAGGCTTCAAGCCGAGGCCTCCCTTCCTTCAGATGGAAAATGTCCTCTCCTACCCTGGCGCTGTGTCTCAAGACCTTTGGAACAAAGGGCCTTCCTCACTGAGCAACGTGTCGCACTTAAAAATCTGCATCACCCACGTGGCCGGAGGCGGCCTGCCTGGCATCAAGAGGCTGGAGGTGTGGGGACAGCCTGCTAAGTCGTGCCCACAGGAGGTGATCGAGGGCATCTTTCAGGTGGCCTCGCAGTGCGTCGCCCAGGACGTTGGCACCCTCAAACCCGAGCTCTGGACACCCATGGAGAGCGACTGCGTGCCCTTCAGCACCAATGACAGCGAGCAGCAGGCCCTCCGCAAGCTGGTGGACGTCGTCCAAGACATCCCTGAAGAGTTCCTGGACCCCATCACTCTGGAGATCATGACTTTCCCCATGCTCCTGCCCTCTGGGAAGGTGATTGACCAGAGCACCTTGGAAAAATGCAACCGGAGTGAGGCGTCTTGGGGCAGGGTGCCCAGTGATCCTTTCACTGGGGTGGCCTTCAGCCAGCACTCACAGCCCCTACCTCACCCCACCCTCAAGGCCAGGATAGATCACTTCCTCTTACAGCACAGCATTCCTGGCACCAACCTGCTCGGCAGGGCTCACGCTTCCGAAATGCTCATACCTTCCTCTGTAACGTCTTCTCTGAAAAGGAAGATGGACTGTATGGATCCGAGTTCTGTGCAGCCACTTTATTTTTCTTCTACAAACTTACTTGTCACATCTACCTCAGAGAACAGTGCTAAAAAAATGAAAACTGACAGTGACTCGCATTTGATCCAGATGGACTGTTCTACAGGTACCTTGGCTCCCTGAATCATTTGTGTTTCTTGAGTGTCTTGGCAGCCCAGGGCCAGCTTTCCAAGTCAGGAGGCTCCCACACTGATTTCCCCTGCCGCCTCCAGAAAGCTTTGAGGCTGTTGTATCAATGTCACAGGAGTGGGTTCATCATCTCATTCACATCCCCTCTCCTCAGCCCAACCTGCTGTCACTGGGTGATGGTTACTCCCATTCTCCTCACCTTTAGGCTTGTTGTTCTTCCTGTATTATCTACAGTCCGTTTCACAGCCCTCTTGTTAGCTCAGGTTGCCTTGTTTCCCTTCAGGGTTTCATTTCTCTTCTCCTTCTTGCTAAGAAAGCAACCTTTTTCTCATAATGTGCTGGCTTGATTTGAAGATGTCTCTTTTTATCATCAGTGATTTGTTAGCATGTATTGGGTGCCTGAGCTTGCAAGAAAACATGCAGTAATTGGGAAAAACAAGTGCTTGGGATTGACAGGATGGGAAAACCCAATGGAGGTGGTGATTGAAGTGAGGAGAAAAACAGGAATGGGGCAGCAGGCTGTGCTGATCCTGCTCCCCTTCCCCTGGTTGAAGAGCCTGGCTCCCAAGCACTTGCTTCTCTTGTCTCCCTGCCAGATGATTTGCTAGAATCCACATCTGTTTTTGCACGGCTGCTTTCTCCCTTGTTTGTGCAGGAATACCTGAAACGTGTTGGAGTTGCTGGTGTGCAGCTGTTCTGTACATATGACTGTTCTTTGTACAGCAATGCTTGCATCTTCCCTCTGGTGCTGTCAAACACAGTCACTGCTGCAGGCAGAAGCCCCACTGGTTGCTGTCTCACATTTGTGTGAGGCTGGATGGAGCAGCAGAGCTGTGTTGCAGGCAGTGAGGTGTGTGCAGGGTGGTCACAGAGGGCTGTTCCTCTGGGCAGGTAAGTTGAGTTTCCCTAGGAAGCAGTGGCACCAAACAATGCTCCACAGCTCCTGAAAGCTGCTGTATCCTGCAGGTATGCAGCACTCCACTCCTCTTCCTCTTCAAGAAAGCTTAGATGGGTATTTGACTTAAAACAAGCTCATTAAAGACTTTAAAGTAATTAATTTTCATCAGTACCAGCAACAGCAGAGGCTGGAGTGTGCTTTCCTGCTCTGATCCATCATTCCATGCTGGAGGAAGTGGTGTGGATTGCTGCAGGCTGGGTGCTGGTGCTCCCAGGGAGCCGTGCCTGCATGTGAACACAGGCACAGCCTCGTGGGATAGTTCTTTGTCAGCCTTGATTGCTGCAGCAAATGTGCAGGGGTAACGCACACAGGATCCCTGTGGGAGCTGGATTTAGCAGAATTAGTGATGCAGACACCGTGCTCCTAATGCACAGTCTCAATTAACAGCAGGGCTTTGGGAATGCATCAGACGAAACACTGTCGTGCCCTTCAGGAAGGATCCAGCCCTGTACCTTTGGCTTTATCCATTGATGCAACGCTGGTTTTCCGGAGCCAAGAGTTGTGCCTCTGATTTTGTTAGCAGCCTCAGGGCTTCTGAAGAACGTTTATGAATCTTTTACCTCATTCAGACTTTGAGAAATAAGGAGGTGCCTGAATGTTGGTTGGCACTTAGGGACACAGGTTAGTGAGCACGGCGGCGATGGGTCAGCAGTTGGACTTGATGGGCTTTGTGGTCTTTATGACATTGTTGTGTGAATCCAGAGGAGTTTTCCTCCCAAGGGCTCAAAGTTGAAGCATTACATCCCCATCTCAACACCGTGATGGGGACGAGGCTTCTTCAGAAAACAAGTGGCAAAGCTTTGAGAGATGTAACCACAGCGTTTTTGTTGCACACCAACAGCCTTTCCCCAGCACAAGCCTCTCAAACTTGTGCTTCTTGTTGCAGATCTGCTCTCTCACGAACAAAAGCTGTCTGAGAGCTTGGACACCGCCTTGAACTCAGCGCTCAGCTCCATGCCATCATTCACAGCCAAGCTGATGAAGAGCCAGCAGGGCGAGGGAGGCTGCAGCACTTCATGGAACATGGGCTCCATCCTCGGTGAGCAGCAAATGGGAGAGGAGAACAGGGACCAGGTTTATAGGGAGGGTTGTGCTGCAGCTCAGCATCTTTCCCTGCCTCTTTGGCCGGTGAGCCATGGTTGTTCTCAGAGTCCCATCAGATTTTAATGTATACGTGCCAGCTGTGAAGCTAGACTTGTTGATCAATGGCACCATCCAAAAAGATGTCTTTGGGATTCAGAGAAGCTGCGTTGGAAGCCCTGGATCTAAAAGATGCCCCTCCACAAGGTGATGTGCTCACTGCTGGCTGCTGCTTTCCCTGGAGGAGGCTCCTGTGTCCCTGAGGCAGGACTGGGCTGGGCAGCTCCCACTGGCTGCCTGTCTCTCTGAATAGCTTTTGATGTTTCACAGTGGCATTAAGCCATTAAGCTTTTTACTGTCCCCTTTTAAATTGCTGCTGTTGAAGAGTTGACTGAGTAGCCCTTTATAGGCAGCGTGTGACAGGAATGCAAGATGATGCCTACGGTGTTTCACGTGGGAATCAGGGATTTTGTTTCAAGTGCTGGAAAAGAGGAAGGGAGGCCAATTCAATCTCAGAAAAAAAGTGAAAAGCTGTATCGTCATCCTTTAAAAGCCTGATGGTGCAAAGGCTGATGTGATCCAGCCCATACCTGGGCTCCAACCCTTCCAGAAGACAGAGCCTTCCCTTTTTTTTAATCACAGGATCCTGATAGCAGCTTTTCAATATCTACATATGAGAAACAAGGAGACAGGTTCTTGAGCAGGATCTGTTGCGATAGGACATGGAGAAACGGTTTTGAACTGAAAGAGGGGAGATTGAGATTGGATATAAGGAAAAAGATTGTTATGGTGAGGCTCAGAGAGGTGGTGGGTGCGCCCCGTCTCTGGAGACATTCAGGGCAAGCAGGATGGGGCTCTGAGCACCTGATGGAGCTGTGGGTCTCATTATGGGAGATGGATCAGATGGCCTTGAAAGGTCCCTTCCAACACAAATGATTCTAAGATTAAGGCTGGACAAGACCACTAAGGTCATCTTGTCCAATCCTTACCCTACCACCACCACCATGCCCACCAAACTTTATGGTAGGCTTGGGAAAAAGAGGCTGTGGTCCTGAGCTATGGGCACCTCCAGCCCTCTGTGCCCAGCTCGGGGTGGCACTTGTCACATGTCCCTGACCACACTGCTTCTCCTCTTGGCTTCGCAGAGCACAGCAGGAGCAGCCAGACCCAGGGATGCACGTCCTGTGGCAAAACCTTCTCATCTTACTTCAAAACAGAGCCCATCTACCAGCTTCCCTGCGGCCACCTCATGTGTCGCCCGTGCTTGGCTGAGAAGCAGAAAGCTCTGTCCATCCTGTGTGCGAGCTGCAAGAGGTCGGTGGCCACGCACGACATCAGGAGGGTCCACTTCTAACAATGCCTGGGGAGGAGAACAGGAGCTGCTGCTGTCCCACGTGTCTGTGTGGGTTATGCAAGGACGACGGCCAGATGAGCATCGTGGAGAAGTCTCCTTGTGCTTACAGAGTAGTGGGGGGGGTTAGAGCATCGTGCCGGAGCAGAAAGCGATCTTGAGGATAATAAAAGCCATAGCTTCTTTAACAAGGAACGTGTATTTATACAGAACTGATTTCCACCTGTCGCACCCGCCCTCTTACCACCATCCCAGTGGCTCAGTGGTTAGCATAGGTGCCTTTTTGGACAGTGAGTTTAGCTTCCCTGTGACTTAAAACCATGTAAACATTTGACGAGCAGCCATTCGGCCGTGGACCAGGAAATGTCCTCGTGGTTGGCAACGTGCAAACGACCCAACTTTTCCCCTCCCCCCCTCCAGCTCCCCTCGCACATCACTCATCCTTCCCCACTGCAGCAAGGCAGGAGAGGAGCAGCCGGTGCCCGAGTGCTGGCAGGGATCTCGTCCCTGGACTCGTGTAGAAAAGTCATTGCATTACACAGGACGTCCCTCTCGGTTTCTGTCGTGTGACTGGACCGGCTCCCGTCTGGCTGATAGACATTTAAGCCTTAATAAAATTATGGTTAAAGTCAGGTTCTCTCTCTGACTCGTAATTGGCCTCACTGTGTGTGTTAATGATTTCGTGTGGTGAATCTGTTGGCGGAGTGCTGAATAAATGGGCTGGAAAAAGCCACGTCGACACGAAAAGAAGAGCTGTAGCCCCGCAGCTTTCAGAGGCACTGTGGCACAGCTTTGTGAGCTCTCACCGTGGGGTTTTGGGACTGAACCTCACGTATCCCGCTCGGAGGAGTTCTGCTCTTCACAGAGCTGCTCAGAAAAAGGCCAGAGGGAAAATCACTCAGATGCATTCTTGTCTGCAGCACATCCTGAATTCAGTGAGGGTGACAGCAGAGGGTTTTGTCACCTGCACCCCCCCCCCTCCACTGCTGCCACTTCATTGATAATTTCTCTCTGCAGAGCCAACATTTCTTACTGATGTTCTGTGCCACTTTCTCTGGGGTAATGAGCCTCCAGCTGAACCACCTACGTGTAATACCTCTGTTCTCTTAACAGGCGCTGCCGTGCTGAGCAGCCCATAAAGTTGGTGGCTTTCTGCTCTGAGCAAATAGCAGCCTCATCCAGCAACTGGGACACCGCTCCGTGCCGGCGCTGAGCTGCTCTTTCTCCTTGTCCGCACCAGTGGGTGTTCATCATCCATCTCCATTTGCAGCAAAATTGGAAGCCCCCTATCTTTAACTCATCCGCAGTCAGATTCCTCAAAGTCATGCGATTCGGAGGCCAGCAGAAATCTCGCTGGCACTCAGTGCTGCTGGGTTTGCAGGAAGCATCCAGGAGTGATTCAGCTCGCACCTCCTCCGCCCCCCAAGCTCCCAGCTCCCCAGCGAGCGCCCAGCTGTGCAGCCATCTCCTTCCCTGTCTGCACTGCTTCCAACGGAGCTCGAAGCTGTGGCAGCATCCCTTCTGCCCAGGAGTTTCTCACCCAGCCTTGCTGCCAGGCAGCGTGGTTCGGGCTGACGTTTTCTCCTTGGGAGCTGGGGAAGAAGCCACCGATGGCCCTCTGCTTGCACAGGCTGTTGTCCCCATCCGTCAGCTGGGCTGATGTCCCCTGCATCCCCTCCCCATTGCCACCATTAAGCCCCATCAGCCATCAGAGCATGGTGACCGAGTGACGCTCCTCTGACGGACGTGGAGGAGCCCCGGTCGCTGCTAAATACCAAGAAAAAAGGGCCAATTTGGGGAGCATCACTTTCTCCAGACAGGAGATGGACGCATTCCCTCTGCAAGCGTGACTTGAAAGTGACTCTGGCACAGAGCAAAGGCTTCTCAAAGTTCCCTGCAGGCAGCTAACTGTGCTGGTTAATCACCTGAAAGCAGCCATAACCACGTCCTTAGGAGCTCAGCGCTAACGAAGGGGCCTGCAGGAGCCTGGGGATGAAATGGAACGTGGCACAGCAGTGCTGGGGATGCAGAGAAAGGATCCCATGAGCTCAGGGAGCCCCGTAGTGTTGCAGGGTGTTGGGTAGCACTGCCCTGCAGGATGCTCCTGACCATCTCTGCCCCACGGCCCCATTGCCTGAGCCTTCCTGATGTCCCCCCACTGTGACCCCAATGTTTTCACCCCCCAAACACTCTTTTTGTGCTCTGCATCCATTCTCCCTCCCAGCTCCATCCCTCCCCGTCCTCCCCTTGATTTCAGTAAGTGATTCTGCGTTGTGGCTGCGGAGCCTCTGCAACTTGGAAAACATTTTATTAACCTTCCTTGACTTTAAAGAGCATAATTACATTTTAATCTCATATTCCCGCGTTATCATTCCAGACACAGAGTCATTTGAATGCAGCTCGTTCTGACTAATGTAATTTTACGATACAGTAATGAAGAGACAGAGCATGAGCACGAAACTCCCAATTTAGACGTGACATTTTGGGCTTCTTTAAAGAAAAGTTTTCCCATCCGAGTGCTTTCACATCCTCCCCGGCCCTGCAACGCCAGCGGGTTGGGCACCCGCTGTGAGCAGCACGGAGGGCCGAGCTGGGCAACGCTAACGATGTTGGTCATTAAGGTACAGCCTTAATGATTCATCACTGCCACTGCCCTCATCCCCGAGCTCTCAAATCCAGGACCAACACTCCCAGAGGATGCATCCATCCCAGGCTGGGACTGGGATCGCCGACACCGTAAGCATCACCCCAAGCTGTGAGCCCACCCTTACCCTTCCGTGCCTCAGTTTCCCCTTTGCAGCCCTATTTTTTCTGTTGTTTTCTGCCCCTGTCCCTCATCTTTAGTGCAGATGATTTCAGGGGGTGCCTAAGGGCAGGAAATCATCCCAGCAGTGGGATCACAGCATCCCCACTGCCCGTCCCCATCCCTCCCACAGCCCCTCCTCACCGCCGCTGGGACCAGGATGGCGGATGCTCATTAGGCTCCTGATTCCCCTCTGCATATTAATTTCACGTCGTCAAGGTCGCCCTCAGCTTTGCTGGAGTGGGAACATGAGACCAGCAGGAATATTCATGGCGGGGGATGGCTGTCCCCTGGGCCGGGTTGCAGTGGGGGTCTTTGCATCACAGTGAGCCGTGGTCCAGCCCTGCTCCCAGTGCTACATCCCTCCCAGAGCTGCAATCTCCAAATTAGCATCCCTTCCCAAAAGCAGCATCCTCCAACCCAGCATCACTTCGAAACTAACAACCCTCAAATCAAAATCCCCGCTAAACTGGCATCCTCCAAATTAACGTCCTCCAAAACCCCATCTCTCCCCAAATCCTCATCCTCCAAATCAGTATCTTCCCTAAACCAGCATCCCTTCTCCACCAAAACCCCTCTCCAAACCAGCATCCTCCAAAATCACACCTCTCCCCAAATCCTCATCCTCCAAACTGTTATCCTCCCCAGAACAATATCCTCCAAAGTAGCATCCCTTCCCAAACCAGCATCCCTCCCCAAATCCTCAGCCTCCCAATCAATATTTCCCCCAAACCATCATCTTCCAAGCCCTCATCCTCCAAACTGGTATTCCTCTTCAAACCAGCATCCTCCAAACTGGTTCCCTCCTAAACCAGCATCCTCTGTACCAGCATCCCTCTCCAAAGCAGCATTCCTCCCTACACCAGTATCCTCTGAAGTAGCATCCCTTCCCAAACCAGCATCCTGCTCTAAACCAACATCCTCCAAACCAGCATCCCTCCCCAAATCCTCATCCTCCAAATCAATATCTTCCCCAAGCCAGCATCTTCCAAACCCTCATCGTCCAAACTGGCGTTCCTTTTCAAAGCAGTCTCCCCCAAACCAGCATCCCTCTCTAAACCCGTATCATCCAAAACCACATCTCACCCCCAATCCTCATCCTCCAAACTGGTACCTTCCTAAATCAGCACCCTCCAAACCAGCATCCTTCCCTAAACCACTATCCTCCAAACCACCATCCTTTCCCAAACCACCATCCCCCCTAAACCGATACCCTCCAAACCCACACCCCCAAAACCCTCTCTTGCCAATCCAGCTCCCTCCAAACTCTCAGCCCTTCCCAAACTCCCACAACCCTCCCTTTGTCCACACCAGGGGTCCATGCCCCCAGTTTTCCTCCTGCTCAGGGGATTCGCTGTCCCTGAGCGCCGCCGCGTGCGCTTCAGCACTGAATCACCTCGATTACAGATTCGCTTGGATGCAATTTGGGAAAGAAAACAAGGGGAGGGGGGAGAAAAAAAAAAGACAACAGCCCGCCCTCCTTCTCCTTCTCCTCCCCCTGGGAAGGGGAGACAGCAGCATAAATAGGCACCAGCACAGCACAGTGCCAGACACACAGCAGCCAACGAACAGCAGGGCAGCTTTCCCCACACGCGTGGCATCGCTCTGGGCACACACAGCATGGCAGAGCCTTCGCTGCCCCTCTCCTTCCTCTGTCTCCTGGCTTTATCCTCCGCCTGCTACATCCAGAACTGCCCCCGGGGTGGCAAGAGGGCTTTGGGTGATACAGCCCTGCGGCAGGTATGGAGGCATGGGGGTAAATGGGGGCTGTGTGGGGTGTGGAAGGTGCCCAACAACTGCTGGGTGTTGGAACTTGCTGGGGGTTGTTGGCATCTGCTGGTTGGTGCCAATCAATCTTTGGGTTGGGAGACAGGGCCAAGAGCTTGGTCCCGAAGCGATGGCTGAGCTGGGGGTACAGGAGCATTTGTGGGGGGGACAAAGGAGGACTCTAAGGGTGGCATCGGGACCAAGCCACTGCGTCGGATGGCAAAGGTGGGGACAGGCCAGGCGTCTCTTATAGGGGGTCTGTGAGCTCAAAGATGGGCACTCAAACATGCTCTGTCCCTGCAGTGCCTCCCCTGTGGACCAGGGAACAGGGGTCGCTGCTTCGGACCCGGGATCTGCTGCGGTGCAGAGCTGGGCTGCTACCTGGGCACGGCAGAGACACGGCGCTGCGCCGAGGAGGACTATGTGCCTTCACCCTGCCAGGCTGGTGGGCAGCCCTGCGGCTCCGGAGGGCGCTGCGCTGCCAACGGTGTCTGCTGCAGTGCTGGTAAGGGGGGCTGGGAGGGAGTTTTGGGGGTGATAATGCTCGGTGGTGGGAGATGGGGAGTGGGTGGAGCTGAGGTTTGGATTGGGGGGTTGCAAAGGGTTGGTGAGTGCTCCGGTGCTTTGCAAAAGGATCGGCGTCCCTCCCCAAAGCAGCAGCATCCTCCAAAACAGCGTTCTCAAAAATCAGCATCCCCCAAATTAGCATTTACCTTCTGAACCAGCATCCTCCAAACTTGGGCACAGAGCAGACGATGTCGCCAGCTTGGAACAGAGATGGAGCTCAGAGCTCCTTCCCACGTCTCCACCATGAGACATGGACACACATGCTCTGCTGGACACACAAACCATAAAAAATCCCTGCTTCCTCATTCATGGGAGCAATAAAGCTGGAGTTTGGGCTTCTCTGATGGGAAACAGACGATCTTTAAGATCCCTCCACCCAACACAACTCAATCCAACTCAACCCAACCCAATTCAACCCAACTCAACTCATCCAAACCCAACCCGACTCAACCCAACCCATTCTATGATTCTACGACCTGAAACCAACTGCTCCTAACTGTGATGCTTTCCCCACTGCAGACACATGTGCCATGGACGCCGTGTGCCTGGAGGAAGGCAGTGAACAGCCAGAAGAGGCAGAGGAGAAGAACCTGACGGTGCTGGATGGCACAGCTGGGGACCTACTGCTGAGGCTGATGCACCTGGCCAACAGGCAGCAGCAAGGCAAGCAGCCCGGCCTCTGAGCAGCTGGGATATCAGAAGGACCCGTTGTAAATAGCAGATCTAATAAAGTCCTCTTGCACTGTGCTGGCTTTGTCTGAGGTGTTGGGGATAAGGGGGGAGTGCTGAGCTCCAGGGTTCATTGGGAGCTTGGGGATGGGCAGGATGGGGCCATGCAGGTGGGTGCCATGCCTTCCTCTGACTCCCTGAAGCCATTTTCCCATTTCCACTGTTTTCCACGTTGGAGGCTCAGCCCCCATTCGACAGGATTTTGCTGAGCTGGTGCCCCCTGGTGCTAAAAGGGAAAAATCCCATCCAGAGCCACGATTTGAGGCCATCCATCCTCACCCCAGGATCCCACCAGCATGCATGGATTCCAACCTCCCTTTCACACCCTGTCCTCAGATTTGTGATGGGGATCTGCCTTCGGACGCCGTCACCTCCTTGCACTCTGGGGCTTTGTTGCCTTTGGGAAGTGAAGATTTGGTGTTCAGGTCCTGGCAGAGGTTCTGGGGTTTACACCTCGTACAGATCACATCTCACCCCTCTGTGAGACTTGTGGTTTTGGCCAGGTCCAACATCCTAAATGGGATAAAAAGAAGAAAAACCATCCCAAATTCCCCAACCCTGAAAACCAAACTTGCAAGCTTTGGGCTCCCAGTTGTACCCAACCACGTATGTTATCCTCCCAAAATGCCCCAAACCCCTCAACGCTGCAAGCTTCGGGATCCCAGTTGAACACCATCACACGTATTATCCTCCCAAAATACCCCAAACACCAAAACCCCAACCCCTCAAAGCCACAAGCTTCGGGTTCCCAGCTGAACCAACCCCAGCAACTATCTTCCCAAAATACTTCAAACCCAAAAACCCAAACATCCCAAAGCCACAAGCTTTGGGTTCCCAGTTGAACCCGATCACACATATGATCTCCCCATGGCAGCAATACTACCAACACTCACCAAACTGCTCCCACATCATTCCCACAACACCCCCAAACCCGGGGCTATTTGGGCAGATGCTGCCTAAACTTCTTACCCTTTTGGGTTCCCTGCTCCAGGCTCCGTGTGGTGTTTTGGGGGCTGCGTCCCCAAAAGGAGCCACGTCCCTTGTTCCCATCATCTGCCTGTCCCCCTGGGCTGGCATCTGGCTGCTTTGTGGAGACAACTGGCCTTTATAATGTCCCCACAGGGAGGTGGCACCTTGGGGTAGTGGTGCTCCCATTGGCCCACGTCACCCCGACACGGTGACCAGCCCCCATCCCACCCCATTAGTATGGAGCCCCGCGCTCCAGCTGCAGCCTCAGCCCGCTCCACACGACCCCACTAAGTGGCAGACCAGACACAGGGCAAAGGGGATGGCAGAGGTGACAGCTCTGTGGCACTGGGCTCTGCATTCCTCAATTAAGCAGGCACTGGGAAGGACTGGGGTCACGGTCTCCATAGACGTAAGCCGTTGTCCAGAGTGAGTGGATTTATTCAAGTCAGGAAGCCCTTAATTGCAGTAACAAAGGCAGGGAGGTTCAGGCCTTGGAGGCTGGCTGTACTCACGCCATGTGTGTGGCTCCAGGGCAGAAGTTACAGGAGATTTGGGTTTTCAAGCATTTGCCAATGGGTAAATTGGGTATTTTTGAGAAGGTGGGATGGTCTAGGGAATGCTCAGTGATGTCACCACGCTCCCAGATGGGACATGCATGCTGCTGAGCACCCCTAACACCAGGTAGAGACGGGCATGAATGACCAGGCACCACATATCACAACCCAAAGCTCTCCAGCTTTGCTTTTTTTCCTCCCACCAGAAGAGATTCAAATCCCAGCCGGCACAGAGTTTCACTTCAGCTCACCCCATTCATCCTGCTACCAGGAGGACACATCACCAAACTCCAACCCTAGCCAACCCATAGGGTTTGGCCAAGCAGGACAAGGAGCCACAAAACCACAGCGTGGCCATCCAAGGTTTCACCCCCCAAAAAAAGCACCTGCAGCCCCTGTGCATCCCCTTACAGCGGTCAAAGCGAGCACTAAGCAAATCAGCACCACAGCACTGACCTCACGTCCTCAACCTCCAGTTATTAGCCGAGCCCTTTGGTGTGGAAAGCAACGCCTTGTGTTTTTAACAGGAAATCAATGACGATGGTGCTGGCGTGTATAATTAGCAGGGGGGGCCTATAAATACTGCTGCTGGCCAGGACGGGACCCAGAAGCATCCTGATCCTGCAGCCATGTCCTACAGGGCGCTCACCGTCTGCCTGCTGGGGCTCCTGGCTCTCTCCTCAGCTTGTTACATCCAGAACTGCCCCATCGGGGGCAAGCGTGCCGTGCCAGACATGGACATCAGGAAGGTAGGTCCCTGTGGGCTGGGTGGGCTGTGAGAGCACCGGCCACCCCTTCATCGGGCAGCTCTGAGCTTGCCAAACAGCAAGGTGAGGTGCATGGATGTTATAGGAACGGGGTTTCAGAGCGGGGGGAATCTTAAAGTAAAGCAGTTTGGGGATGGGGAGGCAAAAGGGAGCTGCAAAGGCAGCCAGACGCAATATGCTGATGAAAACCCATTGCTTTTTCTCAATGCTGGGAAAAAAAACAATTCCAATGGGGCAGTGGCACCATTTTTATGTAGAATGTTAACTTCTGGAGGGTGAATTTGGTGCATGATTTGACTAAAGCCACGATCGCCATGGAATCATTCAGGTTGGAAAAGATCTCTAAGAGCACCAAGTCCAACCTCAGCACATCCCTCAGTGCCACATCTCCAGCTCTGGAACACCTCCAGGTTTGGGGATTTCAGCCCTCTCTGTGCCACCTGTGTCAATGCCTTTTCTTCTAAAGAATTTTTTCCTCATATCCAACCCGAACCTCCACTGGTGCAGTGTGAGGCCATTCCCTCTTATCCTACCACTGTTACCTGGGAGAAAAGATCAACGTCTTTTCATCACTCCTACATGAAAACAAACCCAGAGCCTTCCAGAGCAAACCACTGGGATGAGGACTGAGCTGAGAGCAAGATGAGGACAAGCACACTGGCAGAGGGCAGGGAGATCAGGCTCAATCCCTAACACTGTTCCTCAATGCCCTGAGCAGTGCCTGCCCTGCGGCCCCAGGAACAAAGGCCACTGCTTTGGCCCCAACATCTGCTGTGGGGAGGAGCTGGGCTGCTACCTGGGCACCTCTGAAACCCTGCGGTGCCAGGAGGAGAACTTCCTGCCAACACCCTGTGAGTCTGGGAGGAAAGCCTGCGGCGAGGATGGGGCGAGCTGTGCAGCACCAGGAATCTGCTGCAGCAGTGGTGAGCAACGTGGGGAGACCAGGGGGGGCCTCACATCCACCCCAGGGCTGTGGTACAGAACAGGGAGGGGGAGGATGTTACTGAGGATGGACCTGTCGCTACTGCGGGGCACCAAGGCCAAGTTGTTTGATGTTATTCAAAACAGCACAGGGATGCAGCTCTGAGGGCTGCTTGGTGCTCATTTCCTCTTCTCTTCCTGAGCAGAGGGCTGCGTGCTTGACTCATCTTGCAACCAAGAAATGCTGTTTGCATAGGAGGAAAAACCAGCAGGATCTGCTGTCCCATGGGCTGCACCAGCGCAGCACCCAGCACCATGACTCAGATTGAAGTGATGCTCTTAATTAGAAATAAAACTTGGAGAGAATTAAAAAAAAAAAAAGCGTTTGTGTGTTTTTCTCCATCCTTGCCTGGTTCAGCTCTAGGATCCTACTGAGACGGTGCTGTTCAGAAGTCCTCTGTGATTTTCTTAATTTTGTTGTGCTAAAAGTCATCCTAGAATGGCTCAGGTTGGAGGAGACCTTAAATCCATCTAGTTGCACTGGGTGGGCAGGCTGCACTCACCAGCTCAGGCTGCCCAGGGCCCCATCCAACCCAGCTCTGAGCATCTCCACTGACGGGGCACCCACAGCTCTCTAGGCAGCATTATCACCACTCTCTCACCACTCTCTGAGCAAAGAATTTCCTCCTATCTACCTCACATTTCCCCTCTTTTAGTTTAAAACCATTCCCCCTTATCCTATCACTATTACACCATGTAATTAAAAAAAGAAAAATCAGTTTGCCTCCTGTTTATAAACTCCCTTCGAGTACCGAAAGGCAAGGGAGGGTTTAAAGGATGAACAGGAACAACAGGTCATTCCACCATAGCAGAAAACACAGAAACAATGATTTATTTCACCTACCAACAAAAAACACAGCGTCTGTGTTTTCTACAAAACAATCCAGACCTTGTTTTCCATCAAAGGCATCCAGAGGGGCAGAAATGCAAACAGTGCTGGGGCCACTGGCACAAGAGGCCATGATGGGCTTGTGCCAGAAGCAGATGTAGTCACAGGGTTCCACAGAGGTAAGGGTGCAAAACCAGTCAGATACAATCTCCCTGCAATGTGTTACTGTGCAAGGCCCAACCTCACCTGTGACAGGTGTGCCTTTTTTTTGCATGTATTTAAGACCAATTGAGTGCAGAAAAACAAATCAGAAGGCCAAAGATAAAGGGAGAGTGACCAGAGATTGAGGTGCTTCAGCTGAGCAGAGGAGACAAAAGGATGAGATCTCTCCAGTGCAAAACCACTGAGGATTTGCCTTGGAGTCTGCCTTGCTCCACCTCACCTCCAAGCCAAGGGCAGTGGGGATCCAACCAGAGGGAGGTGGAACTGCAGAGCACCACTTAGAGCAACGGGAGCAGAACACCAGCAGCTCCTCCTCCTCCTGCCTGCCCCACTGCAGGACTGAGGCAGAGTGCTGCTCAGCACCTCAAAATAACACCATTTCCCTCCTCTCCCCCTACCTCTGCAACAGCAGCACAGGAAGCAGGCTGTTTGTCCATCAATTCTGTGGCTGATTTGTGCATTAAAAGGAAGAACCCCGGCCTCCAGGTGGAGGCCAGGCCAGCACATCCCCTTCAGCCATGAGACAGAGCTGCTAGGACAGTGCAGTGCGCTTGACGATGCGTCCCTCTTTGTCAATGGCGAAGTTGTAGTTGCGAGGGTTGTCCAGGCACTCCTCAATCCGAGCCTCCAGGTTCTCAGGAGTGATGAAGGTTTTTGCTTCCTCCTGTAGGAAAGAGGGGAGTGTTGGCTGTTAGCACACGCCACCAGAGAAAGCCCCAAGGGTCACCAGGATCTGCCTTTGGGCACATCGGCACCGCAGCAGGTTGCCAGCACCTGTGCACACACCGCTGCTGGCTGTGGGGCTCCTGCAGACGTGCCAACCTCACATCCCAGCAGTCAGTCTGAAAGACAGCACTGTAACTCCCTCACTTGTGATTATTCCTATCCCTGCTGTCTGAGCTCTCACTTCACCTCCGTCCTTTCCTCAAGCTCCAGGAAGGAACCAACATTTCCCTTCCACAGAACACAGGCCACCAGAGCGTCACTCACACAGATAGTGGCAGCCATCTGCCCAGCATCCCCCAGCTTCTCTCACCTGCAGTTGCAGGACTTCTTTCTCTTTCTCCTTCAGAAAGGCCTCCATCACTTTGGCTTTGTTCTCCGCAGCCTGCAGCTTCTGCATCTTCTGTTCTTCCTCTTCTTTCCTAATTCTTTCTTCTCTGCCATTTGGGAAAGAAGAAAACTTATGTTAGGTACTTATGACCTGAGTGAGACACATCAATCCCTGGGGCACCATGCCTGCAGGTCTGAGTGCAGCAGAAATGGAGGAGCAGACCAACAGGCTTCATCCCTTTAACCTCTGCCTGAATTCATCTGCTGACTGCTTTGACTTTCTGAGTGCACTTCCAATGCTTGACCAGGGGATGGCTCCATGGGAGCAGAATAGGAGTGAAAACAGAGAAATATCTCAGGTTAAAAATCAGGAAGAACTTCCTCTCAGAAAGAGTGGCAATGCATTGGCACAGCTGCCCAGGGAAGTTGTGAAATCACCATTTCTGGAGGTGCTCAAGAACCACAGAGACATGGCACTGAGGGACATGGCCCATGGGCACTGTGGGGATGGGTTGACAGTTAGACTTCATGATCTTAGTGTTTTTTTTCCTATGACAGTCACAGCACACCAGCGGCAAGTAGGGATGAACCACTCAGGTTTATTTTTACAAAAACATGGCCTGGTTATCTGGATGTTTTATTTGGTTTTGAAACACAACTTGAAGCAGCAGTTAGCACTGAGGCTGCCTGCCCTCACCTGCGTGCCCGCTGTCGTGCATTCTCAGCATCGTTCCAGGCCATCAGCAAACGGTGCTCCTCTGACAGTGCTGCTGAGTCCTCAGCATCCTTTTGTGCCTCATGCTTCCTCTGCACCACCTCGGACCTGAAGATGGAGCTGCCAAGGAGCAGGGCACTGAGCACAGCCCCACATTCAGCCCCCCCACATTCAGCCCACATTCCCAGCGATGCTCAACATCCACCCCTCTGCCAGCCCAATGTAAGCCTTCAGCCAGTCCCCACATCACTTTCAGACTCCCCCCAGCTCTCCTCTGCCCCACTGCCACTCTGGACTCCCCCAGACATCCCCTGCCCCAAAACAGCCCCATACCCAATCACATTGTGAATGACAGATGCACTCTAACTCCATATCCTGGCCTAAAATAGTTCCACAGTCCCAATCCCACTCTATACCCCCATACCCTGATCCTGCCCCAAAGTCACTCCAGAATCTCCACAATCCTCCTCTGCCCTTAAGATACCCTATTACCCACCCTTCAAATCCTCCTCCATCCAAACCATCCTGATCTCATCCTACAGCAGCCTTATACCCATTCCCTGCACCACATGCACCCTGCATCCACAAAACCCTTCCCTACCCCACCACAGTGACATACCCTGCCCCAAAACGGTCCCATCAACCTGATCCTGCCCCACAGCAGTCCCACAGCCAGACCAGAACCCTCCCCCTGCCCCACAGCAGCCTCATACCACACCACAACCCCACATTCCACCCCACAACAGCCCCATAGCTACATCCGTGCCCCACGGCCACTCTGGACCACTCCCCAAATTATACCCTGCCCCAAAGCAGTGCTCATATCCACCACATGCCTTGACAGCAGCCCCAGCCCCACCATCAGCCCGACTTCTGCCCCAAAACAGTCCCACAGCCGCCTCACAGAGACCCTCACAGTCGTCCCACACTCTCCCCAAAACTCCTCTGCCCCACAACAGCCCCACACCCGCCCACCCCTCCCTCTCTCAGCCCCGCCGGTACCGGAGGGCGCTGAGCACCAGGCGGTGCTGCCGGTATCGTTCGGTGACCACATAGAGCTCGGCGGGGTCGACGGGAGGAGGCACTTTCAGCCGCGACGCTTTAGATTTGGCGGGGGGATCGTGCCGCGATTTGCGGCCCCGACACGGCACCAACCACGGGCTCCAAGCAGGGACAGGCCCGGTAACAGCAGCGGGGAAGGAGCGCGGACCGCAATACCTCAGCGCCGCCAACATGGCGGCCAGCAGCAGGCCGGATGTGACGCGAATAAGGCGGGAGTAGCGGACCAATGAGAGGAGAGCGCGGAGCGAGGCACGATGGGAAATGTAGTGCGGCGTGGGGCTGCTCAATGCGGTTGGCGCAGGGCGGCCTCCAGAGGGCGCCACACTGCGGCCCGGAGGGTTGAGGGCATCGGCTGGAGCGGGCGGCACGGCGGGGTCGGGCAGGGCCGGAGTGCGGCGGGGACCTGCGGGTGGGGGGTTGTCCCGAGGGTAATAACCCAGAGCGTGAGGTAAAAAACCCCCATGTGTGAGTGGTTGATGATCCTATGGAGGGGTAATCTGTGAGATAGTAGTCCCCTGTGTCAGGTAAATCCTGTGTGGAAGGGTGTGAAGTTATGAAGAGGTTTCATCCCATTTATGTGTGGGAATAATCCCATGTGGGGGTATAACCCTGTGTGAAAGGGCGTAATCTGTGTATGTGGGGGTAATTCTGGGGATGGGTGATCCCAGCGTGTGTGTGGAATGGGAAGAGTCTCAACGGGGATTGATATGAATGGGAATAATCCCATGGAAGGAGGGTGGTGGTATAATCCCAGAAGGGGAATAACCCTGAGGAAGGGGGAACCTGGGTGTGGGTAATGCCATGGGTGGGCAGGGAGGGGAAAGATGCAGGCTGGAATTATTCTGGGTTTGGGGGATAATCCCATAGGGTTGGAGGGGAATAAATGGGGGGATTTGTAACCCTGGCAGAAATAACCTGGGTGTGAGGGGGCAATCGGGAGGGGTAATCTGGAGAGCTGTAAATTTGGGGGTGGTCGTAGCAATAGGGGGGGGAATAACCCAAAGGGGGGGGCTATTGGAGGGAGGTGGTGATAGCACTGAGGGGGCAATACGTGAGGACAGGGTTAGGGTTAGGGGATGATGTGGGAAAGGACGCAGGGTCCCTACCTGTGAGGCGCTGAGGTCCCTCTTGCCCCCTGGGTACCATCCGTGGGACCAGTGCTGGCCCTGCACAGTGCCTGCCAGCAGCAGCAGGGCCAGCAGCAGGCAGCTACCAGGAGCCATGGCACCAAACAGGGCTGCGGGGTAATGGGAAGTAATGGAGAGATAATAGGGGAATGGGGCTGGTAGCCAACCAGTGCCCAGACCAGTGCTGGGTCAGCATGGATGAGAACCTCCTGAGTGGTTTTTGGGACTGGGGTTGGAGGTGCCCAGGGATGGGCATCTGTGGGTGCTGCTTGGGGCTGGTTTGGGTCTGCAGAGATGGATACTCCACATTTTTATCAGAAAACGGAGGTGCTGCAGGGGATGAGCACCCATGGATGCTGGATTGGGTTGCAGTAACACTGATCACCCTACAGTCCCATCTGGGGATGAAGGTGACAGGGAGAAGAACACCCATTGGTGCTGCTTGGTGTGAGCTCGGGTCTGCAAGAAGCTGCACCCCAAGGTGCCTCTTAGGCTTGTTTTGGGGATTGGAAGTGCTGGAGGGAAAGAGCACCCATGGGTGCTGCATAAGGCTGGGCTGGATGCAGCAAAGACAAGCACCCCAGAGTCCTGTTTCAGGATGGAGATGTTGGAGGGAATGATCACCCATGGGTGCTCTTTGGGGCTAAACTGGGTGCAGCAAGGAGGGGTACCCCAAGGTGCCACCTGAGCTGGGTTTGGGGATGCAGATGCTGGATAGGACAGGCACCCGTGGGTGCTGGCTTGGGTGCAGCAAGCACGGACACCCACGAGCAAAGCCGAGTACCTGGGGGCTGCTAAGGCTGATTGGGGTCCCACCACCCTGCTCCCCGCATCGCACTCACCTGTTGGGATGGCGGTGGCCGGTGCTGTGTCCTGCCCAGGAGCTCGGCACCGCTATTTGTAGGGCTGGGCTCGCCACCACTCTTTGTAGGGCTGGGCTTGGCAGCGCTGACGTCGACCCCACTCCCTGGGGAGATGGCAGCCAGTGCTTGCTGAGTGGGAGCCCACCCCAGAGCTTGAGGATGCTCATGAAGGGAGGGGGGTGGGGGGGAATGCAAATCTCTGTGCCTCAGTGCCCCCTCCCGCAGCAGATGGTACAGAAGATACTGCTGGCAACCCTTGTTTTCCCTTTTCTCCTCCAGTTTTTCCAAACATGGGGCTGGATGCTGCATCTCCGCCTGGCCACAGCTCTGGGTTTGTAGCAGAGGAGCAGAGTGTGGGAAGTGGATTTAGCCCGGATTACCTACAGCTGTCTGCTGTTTGCAAAGCGATGCTCCAGCAGCTCTGCACATGGCCAAAGGGCAGGGATGCTCCCCAGGCCCCAAAACACTGCTCTGAGCACCGAGGAGGGGGAAAAAAAACCTCATTAAAATCACATCTGTGCAATTAATCCAATGGCTCTCGATGCCACAAAAACTGTTAAACTATGGTCACCTGCACCCCTCTGCCCTCAGGTCTTTTCTTTGCCCTTGGGGCTCTTCTTGCACCTTGGCTTGCCACAAACATTAGTTTTTACATGTTTTTTCTTCTGGGAACTTCCAAACTCAGTTATTTTACACCTTCTGCTCTGACAACCCGAATTCATTTTGTATCCCAGTTATTTCCAAATGGCACCAACAGGAGAGAAAGGGACAGGCACAGGCACCCCCACATCCCACCAGCAAAGGGACAGAGCTCCTTCAAGGAGCAAAACTCCTTTTCCCCCTCTTCGTTTTGCTTGAAATCCCAACAGACACTGCCAGGTTCAGCTTTCCAACCCCAATGTGATGGCCTGACCCTGAGAGAGAATGCTTTTTCTCTCTCTCTTTTTTTTTTTAAACAAAAATCAGGATATTTAGATACATACACACACACAGAATAAGTTGGTTTGGTTTCTTTTCTCCTTATTTTAAAGAGCTGACTGGCAGAAAAATGTGAAACCATTTCCCTGCAGGTTTGCAAAAGCTTGTGCTTGCTTGTGGGTTATTGGTTCAGATGAGATCCAGAATTATTCTTTCCTTTTGTTTTTTGTTTTTTCTTAAAAAAGGCTTTACTCCCTCAAGAGAAAAGAAAAAAAAAAAGATTTACAAACAAAATAACAGCCTGTATCAACTCTCCAGAAGAGAGATGGTGTGACAATATTAATCCAAACATCACGCTATTTAATTCCCCAATAAAACATTGGAAAAAAAAGGAGCTGACAGTATCTGCACTAACACTTTGCTACATATAAAATCTCCAGCTAATATGAAGCTTATGGTACCAACCTCTAAAACAGTTAAGATATATACACATATTTTGGGGGAGGGGTATATTAACAAACAGAATATTACAAAATATTAAAGAAGGCAACTCTTCTGTCATTTGTTTCAGGTTGTTTGTTGTAATTTTTCACTTGAAGTTGGCGTAGTCTGAGAAGGCGTCGATGTATTCCTGCACCACTTTGTAGCAGAATTCGTACTGTTCCTGCAGAGCAGAGAGGGCACAGCGTTACCCTGAGGAAAACCATGTTTCAGAAATCACTTGGTGCTTCCTGGCCTGCAGTGGGGACTGAGCTGAGTTATTACTGCACACCAAAGCACTTCATCTCTCTCACAGTGCTGGGAAAAGGGTGAAGCCCGTGGAGAATTGGGATGGGTGATGGGACAGCACTTCTGGGCACTGAGTGCTGGCCATGGATTCCCACCCACGAGCAGCTCCCAATGGAGGGCTTGTGGTGATGCCACCTTGGTTTTGCCTTCCCCCTCAAAATGGGGCTGGCCATCCCTACAGGTTGCTCCTACAGAATCACAGAATGGCCCAGGTTGGAAGGGATCTCAAGGATTGTGAATCTCCAGCCCCCCTGCCACATGCAGGGCCACCAACCTCCACATTTCATAGCAGCCCAGGCTGCCCAGGGCCCCATCCAACCTGGCCTTGAACACCTCCAGGGATGGACGGGGCATCACAGCCTCTCTGGGCGGCTGTTCCAGCACCTCACCACTCTCTCTGTCAAGAACTTCCCCCTCACATCCAACCTAAATATGGTTTCCAGGCTCCTGGAGCCCAGAATGCCAGGGACTGCAGATGAGGATGTCTGCAGGGAGGCTCCTACAGCTCATGTCAGAAAGAGGCTGATGCAACCAGCCAGGCCAGCTCCTCTCTTCTGAACACACCACAGGAGGACGGGGAGATCCCTCCCGCCCCACCTCTATCCCTTACTCTTTCACAGAGGGAGCAAACCTTCAGCTGGGGAAGTTTATCTCGACAGTTTAACAGGTTTGAGTCCCCAACTCATTCCTGCTGAGGTCCAGGGCTTACCAGTGTCTGCACCATATGCGGCCTCTGTAGTCTTAAACTCTTCACTGTCTGAAAGACATCGAGAATCCCTTCTGCTTTCACCCTTTCCAGGACAGTGCTCAGTGCACAGAAGGTTCCTGTTCTTCCTGCTCCGGCACTGGCAAAGAGAAACCAGAAGGTGAAACCATCCATCGTTCCCAAGCAGCCCAGGTTTGTCAGGTTGGTTTTGTTATCTCCATGCACAAGATGCACAGTCAGACCGCAGCACTGAGGTGAAGCAAACCCCAAGTCTCTGCAGCCTGAAGCAGCTCCCCAGACTCACCTGCAGTGCACAGTGATGGGGTGGTTGCCTGACTGCTGCTGCTGCTTCTGCACAGCTGCGATGATGTTGATCATTCCCTTCCCATCGCTGGGGATCCCAACCTCTGGCCAGCCATGGAAGTGGAACTGTCGGATCTGTCGGCTCTTGTTTTCCTGGCAGAGGAGCACAGCCAGAAACTCAGCACGGCCCAATTCATACCATCGAACCAACTTGCTGAATGCCTCATGGAAACCCATAGGAGGTGTGTGTGCTTGGGAAGAGTCATTTGCTTGGTGTATGGCAGAGCATGACATGGGAATGGGGAGCACGAGGAAAGCGGGATAGCAGGCACAGGAATAAGGCAACAAAAAGACAACCAGAGTTCCCCAAAGGGCAGTGGCAGATCCTTACCCTGGTGTTTGTCACCAGCAGGTCCCGCACTGTGTAGCTCTCGCATTCCTCCTCTTTTTTCAGCTCCACGTTGATGTCTCCATAGGACACAGAGCCATCAGAAGGCCAGTACTGGGCACATTTCTCCTGAGAAAGAATTGCAAGAAGAGGCAGGGTGAAAATACACATTTTTCTCGCTGCCTTGAAGGTGCACAGCACTGGGAACAGCACAGTGCACAGCACTGGAGGGTTTATGGATATGCTCTGATTTCCTTTGCTGCCGCTACAGCAAATGCTTACCTGACCTCTCTCCTCCAGCTCTGTTAACATCACTATGGAGCAGGATTTCCACTCCCAGATCATCCTCCAGAAGTCCTCTATCGTGTGCTGCAGTGGCCCTTGGCTGGCGATATAGGAGTCCTTCTGGCGATAGCCCTGTGATTTCAAACATGGCAGTGAGAGAATTGGCAGCACGAGGAGGTGGGTGCAGAGGAGAGCTGCAGGCACAACGACCACAAAAAGCCCAGCAGGTTCAATGACAGTGCATGTAGATGCATGGAAATAAAGGAACAACTTGGTCTGGGGGGAAAACACCCCCAGAACAAGTTGTTTGTGTTCGTGGTACCTACTGGGGGCTGAGCTTTAGCATGGGTGTCGTAATTATGAAACAGCACCAACTCTTTGCAAGACACAGAGCTGGAGCACCACCTTTGTGGAGCTCTCTGATACATCAAACTCAGCAAATAATGCAGTGCAGGCACTCTTAATCCTGCTTAGAAGTGCCAAGAAAAAAGGGCGAGCCAGCTTAGCAATCCTTCTCTCTCCATGCCTTGCTTCTACATGCCAGGCTAAGGCTGCTGTGTCCAAGCTGCTGGTCACTGCTTCCTGTGCCAGCCGCTCTGCATGCTTGCCTCAAGGTCTGTGTGCGAGCTCTCCCTTCCAACTCAACCAAAAAGAGGCAAATCCAGTGGATTAGGTCTGCCTCACGCAGACTGGAGGATGCAGGCAGCAGCTCAGGTCTGCAAATGCATCAATGTGCTCTTGGACGAGTTGCCAAGTTGAGCTGAACACCAGAGCACCACTGTGTGAACAACCCCAGCCTGAGCAGAGCCACCACCTGGCTTCCCCTGCCCCAACACCTGGCAGCTGAGATGCTGCCACGGTGAGACCTTTGCTTTTGGGGGAATGCAGCTGCAGTAGGATCACATTTGGCAAAGGAAGGTTTTGTTTCCAGTACTCCTAGGACACTGGCATAGTCTGAATTTTGTAGCAGAGCCAGCCATCATGCCTAAGCACCAAGACTTAGGCTTTTTGGAAGAAGTGAGCAAAACCAGGCTCTGTACTAAGTCAGGGTGACTCTGCTCCACAACAAGAACTGCTTCTGTTACAAAGAATGAAAACCTCCACTATTCCCTTGCGACCTCGCAGCAGACTGTGAATGCAGATGCTTCGTCATTTGGCGTTTGTCATTTAAGCAAAGTTCAGCAGAGGCAGGAAATTGAATCCTCAACAAAATTGCTTACATGACATTTAAGCCTTCTGATCTAGATGCAGAATGAGAAGGCTGCTCACATCTGCGTTTTGTCAGAAGCTGACACAGCCAGAGCACAGCCAGAGCACAATGTGGGGAGCCAGCAAGTGAGATCTGGGGGAGCAGACCATTTAGAAGGCTGTATCTGGGAATATACTGGTTTTACTGGTTCAACACATAGCAGTCATCACACTTCGGGGGGAAAAACACTGCCATTAGGAAATGAAAGTAGGAATTGGGCTGGAAAAGAGCAGGTTTCTTTGTTACTTAACCAGTGCTGGCATCACTGCACAAAGATAAATGCTCATATGAGATGGAGCCCTGAAGTCAACAGGATTACTCACGAGCAAAGGATGTGCAATCACCTATCTCCTCCTCGGAGTGAAAAAGCACTTAACCTCTCTGCCTCATTTCCTCCAGTCACCAAGACAGGTGTAATAGGATTGACCTGGTTTTCTCAGGGGTTTTGGGATCCGTGCTGTTGCTCCAGAACTAATCTAGAGGATGTTTTCTGACCAAATGAACAGTGCCATAAAGTAATTATTTCCCTGGCTTTGTGCATCCGCTTCTCAAATCCATCATCAAACCCCACAGCTGTGGAAGTGGGACCAGGATTTAGAGGCCCAGCTTAGGCTCCACATCTCCTCTACCTACAGAGGTGTTTCAGGACAAAGCCTTCAATATGAAGAAGTGTGAGGTAAATAGTTTCCAGGGAGAGAAGATGGAAAGAAGATCAAAGAAGACTCACATCAATAAAAGAAGCATTAACGTAGTCTGTGTTTTCTTCACCTCTCTTCACTGGAATGATTACTCTGTTGAACTCATCTAAAACAGAAGCAAAACAACTGCATTTTGGGAAACACTTTAAAAACATTATGCATGGCCTTCAGCTGGGAAGTCACCAAGACCAAGTGCTGAGATGAGGGAAGGGGGGCCCTGTGTCCACAGCACCCATTTATGCAACGAGGAGACTCAGCTCTGCCTTCTGCCATGCCCTGGTTTGGGGAGCCCAGGGCAGAAGGGAGGCACTGAGGACTCAAGGAACGGGACCTGCTCAGCAGATATTCCCCTCTTCCAAAGGCAGAAAGCCTTGGGGAGGACCAACCTTCTGAGAACAAAGTCATGGCAGGGGCAGGGCAGAACAAAGCAAGAAAGCTCTGGAGCAGTGTTAAATCTGTCCATGAAAACCCACCTCACCCTGACTCTGCCCCATCCCTACATGGTTTCCCTACCAAGGAATGGACCAGGAGGCCTCCGGAGGTCCGTTTCAACCTCAACCATTCCGTGTCCCCACTCCCACAGATGCCTCTGTCTCCATTCTTCTTTCAACCGGACAAACACAACTTACATGGAATTATCTGAAGCACCCTGTTCTTTTTCATGTTGGCTGGCAAGTTGCCCGTTCTCATCTTGTCGTTCTGAATTTTGATGGAAGTGAGCTTCTGCAGAGGAAGGAAGGAAAGCAGTGACAGCTTGCAGAGACACTAAAGGAGAAGCAAATGCATGGCAGTCCTTGCTGCCCAGCGTGTGCTGAACAAACCTGCCAGCACAGGAAACCAGGCTCACCTTGAACTCCTCTTCCAGCCCGTTGCTGCTGGTCCCTGGCACTTTGTTGTAGATCTTCTGGAGGTGGATTTCTAACGAGGTCACCTCCAGTTCTGTATCACCGTAGAGATAGTGCTCCAGCAGTGCTTGGTATATGAACACATACTGCATCTGAAAGGGTCGCAGGGAGAAGCTGCACTCAGGGATGGGATCTGGCTGCAAACCCACTGCCCAAGCACTTCCCCTTGTAAGAGGTCTGAGACCTTATCTGCCACATGACCTGCAGGGATTTGACACAAAGCTCAAGGACAAACTGCAGATAACAAAGTGCAGGACCAACAGCTCACTGGACACAGTGTTCCTTCCAAAATTAAGGATGCCACTCAACTTGCCCACAGGGCTGCTGCAGGTGGCTTCGCTGCAGGCTGGGAAAACACAAAGGAAAACCACAGGGAGCCTGCAGCAGCACACTTACATCTGTCTGTACCATCTGGCAGCGCTGAGCCCGGATCCGGCTCACGAAGCCATAAACGTCCACCTTCCTCTCGGCGTGCATCATGTCCAGCATGGCGTCGATGACGATAAAAGTGCCCGTGCGTCCCACCCCAGCGCTGCAATGGCAGAAGGGCAAACGATCAGGGCACAGCTCCACAGCAAGCTCACTCTGGTCACAGAACCACGGAATAGCTTGTGTTGGAAGGGATCATAGGCTCATAGAATGGCCTGGGTTGAAAAGGACCACAATGGTCATCTAGTTTCAACGCCCTGCTATGTGCAGGGTTGCCAATTACTAGACCGAGATGCCCAGAGCCACATCCAGCATCCAGGGATCTTAAAGCACTCCCAGTTCCAGCCCTTGCTGTGGACTGGTTGCCTCACATCAGCTCAGGCTGCCCAGGGCCCCATCCAACCTGGCCTTGAGCACCTCCAGAGATGGGGCACCAGCAGCTCTCAGGGCAGCAGTACCAGCGCCTCTCAGTAAAGAATTTCCCTCTCACATCTAACCTAAATCTCCCCTCTTGTATTTTAAAACCATTCCCTGCTGTCCCATCACTGTCAGACCACATAAAAAGTCACTCTCCATCTTTTTTTATAAGCTACCTTTAAATACTGAAAAGACACTATGAGGTCTCCCCGAAGCTTTCTCTTCCTCAGGCTGAACAAGCCCAGCTCCCTCAGCCTGACTCCATTGGAGAGTTGCTTTGAGCATCAGACTCCAACAATGCAGTCCCTTCTGCACACCATCACCAAGCACTGCAGCAGGGCTTGCTGCCTTCTCCCATCCAGAGATGCTTTCCAGGCAAGCCAGGAGAGGCAGCCACAGCCGTGGCCGAGGCTCACCTGCAGTGCACTACTATTGCTCCTGCATACTGGGGGTTACACGTCTTCACCTTCTTCAAGAACTTCAGCATCCCAATGGGGGTGAAGGGCACCCCGAAGTCGGGCCAGCTGGTGAAGTGGAACTGCGTCACCAGGCGCTGAGGCTTCTTGTTCGTGACGTCACCTACCTGCAGGGGAAATGCGTGCTCAGATCAATCACAAACGCTTCACATTTCCTCTCTTTTCCCAAAAGCTAAGGCAGAGAGGGAGCTACAGTCCCAAGGCTCAATTGGAAGGTTTAGGAAGCACTGCCACCTGGAAGCTTAAAGGACATGGATCCAGGCTGCAGGGCCATATGAGGCTCTAAAGGCATGACATTTTTTCTGCTCTCTGTCATATCCTGCATCCTAAGGGTGGCCTTGAAGCTGCGAAATAGCAGAGCAGAACATCACCCAGGTGAGAGATGCCACCTGGACGGCTCCAGCCTGGCAGAATCTGTGACACTTCAATGCCAATGGGCCCAGCTCAAAAAGAAGGCATGGCTCCTTTCAGTAATAAAGATGATGATGCAGTATCCTTGCATTAAAAGCATGGAAGGAACCAGGCACAAAGCGGGGTCCAGGAGAGCCTGATCTAACTCTAGGCAGCCTTTCATCAAGGCACTCGGTCTCCCTTGCATCAGTGCTTTGTTGCCTGCCTCCGAGAACATCAGGAAAACAAACAGAGTGACTAATCCTGAGCTTGGAGGATGTGACAGTGTAGCGACAGATGGGAAAATAATCAAAACCCAACGCATAAAGCGCTGGATTTTGTCTCAGCTCACGAGATGAAACTGACTTATTTGCAGGCACTAAGCGGCTGTGGGTCAGAATCACAGCATGGCTTGGGTTGGAAGGGACCCTAAGGATCATCCAGTTCCAGCCCTCCTGCTGTGGTAACAACAAGCCCTGGAGGATTACAGGACTGCATTTTCACTGGAATCAACCAGCTTCCTTTTCTTCCAATGCAACGCCGCTGACAGACGCGGAGAATGGGGTCCTGTGTGTTGGAGGTGAGTACGTTCTTACAGCTCTCTGTTGGAGGCGAGTACAGTTCTTACAGTTATGAAGAGGGATGTTGCTGTCACTGAGGTGAAACCCTGAGGAGTGGCAGAGCAGCCAGGGGCAGGGAGGGACAGGGCAGGGCAGCAGCACCTGCTGAATGCAGAACTTGCGCACGGTGTAGTCCACCAGCACCGTCACGTCTTCCACCGAAACGCGGATGTTCCCGTATGTCCAGCAGCCCTGATCTGGCCAGTACTGAGCACACTTACACTGCAGGGACAGAGAAGGCAGACGGGTAAGCTTCAGCACCCAGCAAGCCTGGGAACAGAGCGTGGTGAGAGCTGAGACATTGCGTGGCTCAGCACAACCTCTGTGCTCACTGAGACGATGCCCGTTGGACGACACGGTGCCTACCTCTTTCCGCTCCTTCAGGTTGGTCACCATGACAATCGTTGCTGTGTTTTGCTCCCAAATCATTCTCCAAAAGTCATTCACTGTTTCTTCCTTTGGTCCTAAGGGAAACGGATGCATCGTGGTTAGGAAAGGGGCATCGACTCCACAGGCAGTGGGACTAAAATCCATGGCAGAGCGTGGAGTGTAGCACTCTTTTAGCCGATAGATGTCAGCACAGGATGCTCCATGGGTGTCTGGGAACCCAGAGAACAATCATATTGCACAAGAGCAGGTGGGTTTTTTTCTTGTTTTTTTTTTTTTGTTTGTTTTCTAAGGGACTGGATACTTTTTTATTATCAGGAATTCCATTTTTAGCCCAACAAGGGGAAACCAGACAAACAGAGCATGGAAACGACTTGCCCAAGGTCACACTGGGAAATTGTGGCTGTCACAAATAGCATGCACAAGTCCTGCCCCCGAGCCTTGTGCTTTAACCACAGGATCCTATTTCAATATGGCACAGGAATAGCTCTCACTGCCTTGCCAGACAGGGAGCTGACTCACCCCAACATCCCCTGCCAAGCCCCAGGCTGAGGGTGAGCCAGGAGGAAAATGGAGCCAAAGCTTCACCCCAGCCTGGTACTGCTGATGAGATGCAGCCTTCCTTCTCCAGCCAGAGCCAAGAGAACAGGGTGGCTGCACCGAGGCACGCAAGCTGGGACCTCTGTGACAGTGGCTGGTGACGGACAGGTGCAGCAAATCCAACTCACAAACAAAGGCTGGGATTAGAGAAAACTTCCTATGATTTTTGCTAGTGTGAAGGTCCCATGCCTGGGCATCTCAGTTTCAGCAGGGAAAGCTGCACACACGATGGTGATGCTCTGCCTGGGGGCAGCTGAGCTCAGGAAGGCTCTGACGCTTGCAGCTAACAGTCCTGCCACCCGTGTGAAGATTATTACAGCTCAGTCTCTCCCCAAGGACATAAGCCCACATTCTTAAAAGCTAAGGGTTTAGAAGGAGCATAATGAAACTGGATCGGTGTGGTGCTCGCTCTGACATAAATGATTTCTCAGCTTTATTAAGGAAATTTAATTAAGTATCTAGCTAGCTACGTTTTGAGAGATCACAGCCACCTGCAGTTGTGGCTCAAGGGGAGGATGAGGATCTGGGGCTGGTAGGATGGAAGAAACCATCCAGCAATGGGGACTCCATAGGCTTCTTGTTCTTCCCCAGTACACCCAGCAGGAACAAAACATTCCTGCAACAACCTGTGGCCTGGCCAGATCTCCTTTCATGTTGACCAGAGACTCTCACGAGGCACTGTACTGGGGTTATTTGGGTTATCTGCAGTTTCATAGAGCAGAAGGACCCAAATCCAATAGGGCAGAGCTCCTAAAATAACTGAGCATTTACCTTGTGCAGCAATGAACTTGTTTTTCTCTTGGTACCCCTATGGAGAAAAGGAGAAAAAAGAAGACAAATGAAAGGCCAGTCTTTTTCTAAGGGTCATGAAGTGTTGCACTGCCTGCACTCATGTAATTTGTCAGCTGCTGGCCCAAAGCATGGTTGAGGTGGTAGCTCAGTACCTTTCTGCTGGCATCATCTGAAAATCAGCATTAATCTTCAAGAGTTCAGGCTGTTGAACCCACAGTGAGTTATACAGATTATTTCCTAATGGCTGTATAGTTAGTGCTGAAGAAGGTGAAAAAAAAAACCCTTTGGGGTCTTGCTTTTCTTCATGTGCCTCCATCTCCCTCAAAGTCAACTTCTTCATATTACCCTTCCCACTGTAACACTGATGTGGGCTATGTTAGCAGCTCCCCTCTGTGCCTTGTGGACAGAACACATCTCCCAAGAAACAGGACACTAAATTAATAAAATGCATTTTGTATTCAGATGAATGCTATAAAAGCTAACATGGACAAAAGGGAAAAGTTGGACTGCATTCTCTCCCTCTCAGAAATCAATGAGTTCACTAACAAAAGCCATTGGCAAACGCACAAATCCTGCTGCCTCCTAGGAGCAGAGTAGGGCAAAGTTGCTTTGAAGGATATTGTAGCTGTGTTGCTTCTTCTTTTTTTTTTTTCCATGCCCTTCACATGTCCAGCCCTGCAAGCTGGGAAGTACCAGTGATTAATCAGCCTCAGGATTCATCAGCCATTAATCAGAAATCCTCCGTTCACCCCAGAATGGTTCCAAACCCCTTCCCAAACAGCCAGCTTGCCTTTGCAACACTCTGAGGAGCTTTTCATGGCTTTAGAAGTGGCAAAAAAAGAGAGGTGTGAAGAGATGGGACTGAGCACAGCAGGACTATGGCCAGAATTTATTAGTCCCAGCCCTCTGTCTTGTACTCCAGTTGCTGGACCGTGTTCTTTCGGCTTCTTCCAGACTAAAGCTGCACTCCATAAAGGCCACACACACAGCCAGGCCTCGTTTTTAGGGATGGGAGTCACTCAAGGCAGGACAGGCACTTACATTAATGAAGGAGGCGTTGATGTAGTCAGAGTCAGGAACCCCTTCAACAGGAGTCAGGTGAACCCTGGAATGATCATCTGGAGAAAGATGACAATTCTGCATTAAAACCAGAGCCCTGCAGAGCTGAGCTGAGTTTTTGGAGTGGAGCCCAGGCTTAAGGGGGTTCCCAGAATACGTAAGTGACTTTATGCCCTGAAATCCTTCCATGCTCAAAGCCAGGAAGATGATGGACCTTCCTTACACAGAGATCATCTGCATTTCCCATCAGCTTCATTTTCCACATCCTCCTGGCTGCTCACAGCTCCAGGGAGTCCCTAGTGTGCATCTAAGGCTAATGCAGATGCAGCAGCCCCTCTGGGTGAGCCCTCCCTCAGCCCCCCAGCCCCACTGATACCTACAGGGCAAAATGTTCACGTAGCGGTTCTTCTCCTTGTTCTCCTCCTTGGAAGCAGCTTCACATGTGGCCTGAATGGGACACGCTGGGAGAGCCTGTAATAGCAGAAAATGGGGTTTTATGTGATATTTTCAGGCACAAGGAGTCCTGCACAAGGATGAATCCCCTCGACCCACCTCCCTCAGCATCACTCCTGTGCTGCTCTGTGCCCCGACCCAACTGAGGGTGATCATTTGAACAGCCCAAGCTGTACCAGACAGCAAATCCCATCTCAGATGCAATATCCCAAGCCTCTGGACAAATAAACACGAGGTGGCAGCAAAGCCTCCAACACCAAACCCACCAACACAGGGTTCTGGAAGCTCACAGGGAGGCTCCTGCTGACATTTCCTCCATTACCAGCGATGCTAACTGTGTAACCCAACCAAACCCTCCCTGCTCCAAAACTCCACTGCCCAGCACTTGCAGGGCTGGGAGAGAGCTGCACCATCCCACCCCCAGTAGGGATCTGCTGTCCTTCCAGCAGCATCAGGGACCTCCAAATGGGGGTGCTGGAATCACTTGCAACGTGACCCTGTAATAGCCAGGAGGATGGCATGTGCTGCTTCCTCCAGCTGGCACGACAACATGCAACCCAGGATCCAGGATTTATAACCCAAGTGATTGCTTCCCTTGTTATTCAGCATGTGGATTTGGTTTCATGGGCTCACAGCCTCCTCTGACACGCAGGGTATCGAGTTGTGCGACAGCTGGGGGAAGTCGGCTGCGTTTTCTGTTTTAATCTTGTCATAGTCCTGATATCAGCTTATCACACCTTGCACCTAAGGTTTTATGTATTTGCAGACAGCACCTGCAGTGCAATCAGACCAGCAGTGGATTTTCTTTCATTAATTAAGCTGATGGGGAATCCAGTTAGTTCAGCTCCTAAGCAATATGCTATGACACTCCAGCCAGTAGTTAACTGTGTCCCCTCCCTCATCACTTCTATTTCTGCACGGCCAAAATGAAACCATACCAGGTTCAGCATCACAAGAAGTCAGAGAGCTCAGCAACATCAGGAACAAGTTTCAGACATCTCAGAAGAGATGATGAAGTGTTGTGGGGTAATGACAATATCTGAATTATTGCCAAGACTGATCAGTGCTGAAGGCCAGCTGTTGTGCTCTAAGTGGTCATCATTCAGTTTCAGAGCTACCAGCTTATTCACATTAAGTAGAGTTGTTTCAATTTCTTGTTTTGGCTGTTTCTGCATTTGACACAACACCATGACACAGCTTTACCAGCAATTCATGTTGGCAGTGTTTCTGTCACAGCCCTGAGGAGGAGGAGGGAAGGCTCTATCTGGGAGGAAACCAGCAGGCAGGGAAACTCTTTCAGAGCTCTTCCATTCCAAGACCTCCTGGACACAGAAGAATGTAACCCCATGGTGCTGCTTGCTAGCAAAGCTGAGAGCAGCTGGGTGGGACACAGGCAACAAGAGAGAGATACCAGGGACCAGTTACAAAGGCGAAAACCTCTTTGTGTGCTTTGCAATAAATATGTAAAAATCTCCGAGTGGCTTCGCCTTTGATGTACCAGCTGTTTTGTCTCTGCTGTTCTACAAAATGAGACCAGAATTCTTCTGTTGTGTGTCATAAGCTTTACAGATAGCATCCTGCTCGAGCTGTGCAATTTAAGGGAAAGAAGACAGAGCTGCTTTTCAATTCTCTCTCCATCAACCTCTTCATCTCATCAGCCATGAAATTGCTCCATGGCTGCAGATAACCACCGTCCAACCTGCAATAAACACCCACTGCTTTGCAGAGTAACAGAGGAACCTCTGCGTCGCTTTGAAAGACGAACGCCACTCTGTGCCGGCTCGGCGGTGTCCATTGGAATGAACTGGAGTAAACAACCTCCTTACTCCCACCCATCCCTCGTGCTGCAGGAGAGGAGGAGAAGCAAAGACACTCACGTTGAACTCTTCTCGGAAGAGCTTGTTGTCATCTGCCATGCGGCGGTTGATCTCCTCCTCCAGCTTGTCGACGGGCAGAGGTGGGTATTTCCTGTTGGTGCTGGGGGACCTGGCGAGCAGCGGCATGCTCTGGGGCTCTGCAATGACACCCAGGGGTCAGAGTTGTCCCCAGATGCTCCTCTGTGCCCAGTACCCATCCTCACAGAGCTCCCACACTGCGGGCACACCGCGTTTAGGGACACTCGGCTGTCCCCACTCCTGTGATTTGCTCCTCCTTTGGGATGTCCATGAAAATGTGGGGGTGCTGTGATAACTTGGGACTCTATCAGCAGCCTGGAGTTGAGCACTGCCCTGTTATAGAGCCAGGATGCTGAAATGAGGATCGAGTCATCAGTTCTGGGGGATGAACACCAGAGTCTGCAGCAACAGGACATTGGGTAATGGCTTTAAACTAAAACAAGGGAGATGTAGCTGAGATATTAGGATGAAATTCTTCACTGTGAGGGAGCTGAGGCTCTGGCATTGCTGCCCAGAGGAGCTGTGGGTGCCCCATCCCTGGAGATCCTCAGGGCCAGGTTGGATGAAGCTTTGGGCACCCGGTCAGTGAAAGGTGTCTCCCCTTGGCAGTGGATCAGAACCATATGGGCTTTAAGGTTCTCTTCCAACCCAAACCATTTGATTATGAAGACTCTGAATTCCCTCCTTAACATGGGAAGTTTGGCACAATGACCATGCCACAGCTCCCAGGTGAATGCAGTAAAGGTAGCTGCTGTGTTTGGTTTCTGCTGAGCAATGCCAGCGAAGCCAAGAAAGGCCACAGGAGGGTTATATCAACACAACTGAGGGTTTATGAAGTTAACACCTTAGCTTACAGCAATATAAAGCTTGGGCAGGGAAGGTTTTAGCTGCCAGCATGAAAAAACATTGCTGATTTTCAGTTAGTGCTCCCTTGTATGTGTGTGGTTAATACGGAAGAAGCTCAGAAAAAGGATCTGAAATGAGTCTGACTCAGAGAATCATAGAATATCCTGAGTTGGAAGGAATCCACAAGGATCACTGAGACTGCCCCTGAGACACTGAGGTTCCTCTTCAACTCCTACAGTAGATAAGCACGTTACAGCAGGCTGGCACAAGACTTTTTAATTGCACTTGTAAATTCTGCCTATCTTTCAAGGTTTTCATAAGGAAAAAACGATGTGTTCCCAGCTTTATCTCCACAATGTTAATTTGGTGCCTGCAGTCAATGTGAAGAACTTCACAAGAGTTTTATTCAGCTGTCATCCTAATTTAAAGGGGGAACTGCCAGCAGTTCAGTTTTGGAAGTGATCATCACAATGTATTAAAACACTTGAGGGAAAACATTTGTTGATGGAATTAAAGTTAGGAAGAGAATTGTTGGTTTAGGTTTGTCAATATCATGGAAAACAGTGAGAGTTCAGAACAGATTAAAACAGCATCATCCAGCAGTGATTCGCTGGGTGCTGTCACTGCACTGGGCTCAGTGCTGAGCTCAGGGGCTCCTGGAGCTTCTACAGAGCTCTGTTTTCTGATGATTTAACATAATTTTGTATGATTACAAATGGAAAGAAAACAAACAAGTCAAATAATCCATTAATAATGGATGAATGGTCCACTCTGAAGAATGCTCGGCATGCCGTGGTTTGCAAGCACATGGCATGTTTTGCAAGGGAAGTGGTTTAGTAAACATGGTGGTGATGGGTTGATGGTTGGAGCTGATGATCTTGGTGGTCTTTTCCAACCTTAATGATCCTGTGGTGATTCATCTGTACCTCTGTTCCCACGTCATGCCTTACCTGCATCATCTGTCCGACCGTTGGGCAGGCGGAAGGAGTTGGAGTGACTCCCTGCTTGCTTGTATTTCTTGAACCTGAAGAAGAAAAGGGCATGGAGAAAGTCAGGAGTTGGCCATCGAGATGCCAGGTAACCTTCTGGAATAGCAAACCCTCCTCAGCTTCACTGCTGTGAGATGGGCCCCGAGCCAAGAGACGAAGGGAATTTTTCCACCATTGCTAAGGAAATTGCTTTTTTTTTTTTTTTTCTTCCCCTTTTAATTATTTAATCATCAAAACATTGAGTAAATTAAGATGTTTACTGCAGGTGAATAAACGCTCTCTTCCAGCTGAGCAGGCGTGCGCTCAGGAGCTGGGTTCATTGAAGGCATCATTTGGAGCAGCCCAGATGCTTGGATTTTTAAAATGTTGTCTTAGAAAGGCTCTCTTGTGCTGCAGCTCCAGCTGCTGCATCGCCCTGTGTGTCCAAACAGCTGCAGCACCCACTGCCCTGCATGGTTCTGCTGGGACAAACCTGCTCCCACAGCACGCAGCTTTAGTACCCAAGGCTGTCCATGGGCATCAGGTCATGTTTGATATCGTGATGGGAATGAAGGAATGATGCAGAAGATCTTATGGCTGGGGAATTCTGTGTAGCTTCACCAGATTCCTCAATCCATCAACCTGAGCCTTGGAAGGAGACCTTGCCTGCTCTTACCTGCACAAGCAGGGCTTTGACTAATCCATCCTTCTCAATGTTACCATTTCACTAACTGAACAGAGAAGGAATAGCTTTATACTGAAATGAATAAGCAACAATTATTAAATAGCCCCAAATATAATTTTCATTATCCTTCCAGATTTCTTTTTATAACATTGCCTGTGTCAGGCTTGCATAGCTTAGGAAGCAGAACAAAAAGCTCTCGATAGAGAGCAGCCAGTCCTTCAGCTAACCATCTAATACATCATTTGTCAAATAAGTCAGCATGAAAGCCCTTCTTACCTTAACATGTACAGCACAATAATAATAAATACTATGACTAGGAGGGAGGACAGGGCCACCATCACGGCGATAATTGGAGTCTCATCTGCAACAAAGAAAGAAAGGTGCAGTTACCAACGGCTATCCAAACCCACCCAGTGCCATCACTTAACCATTCCTCTACAGTTCCTGCTTTTAAAACAACCCACTTGTTCCATAGGGTTGCATTTGTCACGGCTGGTTGGACTGGATGATCTCAGTGGGCTTCTCCCACCTTAACGATTCTGTGGTTTGGTGAAGATGGATACCTGACCTAAGGGAGCGTGCTGAGATTAGATTAAAAGCTGTCAACACCAGTCTCAGGACCCTGATCTTTTCTAAGAGCAGTTCTGCTGGGAAACCCTGTGGCATCATGGATGCAAACTCCTGCTGAGAAAGTTGTGAGAGGGGGAGAAGTGGCCACACCAGGGTTTTCACGATTGGGACACAATTAGAAGTGCCCCACAATAAAAAAAAACAAAACAAAAACAGGATTAAAAGTGCCCTATAAAGGCCCATACATAAACTTTCTAAATTCGTCCAAGAGCTCAGTGAGAATCCTTATATTACAATAGGTGAAAACGATGGCCTTTGTAGGACCATACAGATCCCATATTGTTTAAGATAGCCATGATTTTTCTTCCAGCTTCGTGCCCAGGCAATGTTTCCATGCTACGCCCTGACTCCAATTGTGTTCAGCCCAGGGCTGAGGTTTGCTGCCAGCTATTTGTTACCTGCCCCTGGGGTCAGAGCAGCAGTGCTTGGAGCAAGCTCATCACCCAGAGGCAGCTGGAAGACAAGCCACACTAACAGATAGGAAAACAGCCCTAAAGGGCATATTTCCAGAAAAATATGGGCAGCAGCAGAGCCAGAGAGGGGTATTTTCATTTTCCATCAGCTCACTCAATCTGGAAGCTCTAGAAAAGTGATTCTGAACAAAAGATCTGACTTATGCACAATGATGTGAAGGTGGAGACCTACTGTTGCAAACAATAAAAAACCCACCTCTCCCTGTCTTTGTTCTTTCCATCTGCATCCCCCCAAAGCCCAGCAGTGAAAAAGAAATTCATCTGAACACATTTCTGTCTCCTGCATACCCGGTAACTGTTCCTAGCCCTCACCTCCCCTCAGCCATGGCTCATCTTCGTGGTTCATGTTGTTGAATTTATCAAACCCTCTTGCTGTAAAGCCCTGCTCGATGCCTGCCAGGCTTCCCAGACACACCGTTGGTTGGATGAGGTGCAGGTACATGGCAAGGATGAGAGATAATGGCCTTAAGTTGCATCAGGGGAAAGTCAGCTTGGATATAAGGAAACGTTTCTTCTCAGAAAGGGTGCTGATGCGTTGGCACGGGGAAGTGGTGGAATCACTGTCCCTGGAGGTATTCATGAACAGTGGAGATATGGTGTTGAGGGACATGTTTATGGTTAAGGTGGGGATGGATTGGGGCTGGACTTGATGATCTTAGAAGTCTTTTTCAACCTTAATGATTCCATGATTCATCAAGAGCCCACAGAACCAGATTCATGACAAAGCCTCCGTTTGGTTTCTTGGTGGATCCCCTTCCCAGTAGCACTTGGGAAGCAAAATAAGAAGAAGCCATAACAGACACTGCAGTTTGGGATAAGTCATTGAGCTTGGCATGAGCAGGCTCCATTTTCATTGAAGCAAAGCAGTAAGTTAAAGAAGTTCCCACTGATCTGTGCCTATCTCTATCATGGCCAAGGCAGGACAGTTCATTGGGATCTGAGCTCCTGCACCAAAACCTCAGTTCTGTGCGATGTTTCAAGGACAGCTGCACAGGGCTCAAAGCAGAGGATATCCTGGTCACTTCTGAATCTAAATTCCAACCAAGATACCAGAAAATCAGAGGGGATTTTTACCTAATGGCAAACCCAGCCATCTGTTCTCATTCTGTAGGACCGGTGTGTATGTGCAAACCATATCACAGCCCCATCACACGGCACTGAAAGCATCATTTCTGGAACAAGTAAAGTGTTAAATACCCGTGCAGCTTTGCTCCCAAGCAGGCAGTGCCTTTTAAAGAGCCTGCCAAGGACTCCATGGTTAGTTTCTCCCTTTCTCTCTGCAATGGATCACACCGTATCAGCTGTAGCACAAGTACAGCTTACAGATGTCCTATAAGACCAAGATCCTATGAGCTCCTACAAGGCTAAAAAGGGATGGGGAAGGACTTGCAGACAACACAAGAGTTTGGTGTTGCTGTGAAAGACAGTGACAAAGCACCAATTTCCACATGACTTCAGGAAGAAGCAGAGTGAGTTGGAGTGCCATGTAGTGTGCAAAGCTGCAACGCCATCAGGACCATGATGAAAACACAAAGAAAGCAAACAGGCTGCCCTGCTGTTGGTCTGTTGGCTCCTCTGCTGCTAAAGCAATGAGTAATTGCAAATACTCTGTTAGCAACGCTGGTTCTCAGAATTCAGTCATTGAATCAGAGATGGAAAAATGAGTGTAAGTGCTATTATATTACCAGAAATGGATTTCTGCTACTTCTTGCCAGCAAAATTAATGAGAATGATAAGTATTCACATCATTTGCAGAACGGGTCCTGATCAAACAGGGCAAGTCACGGTCAATAAAGACAATTCATAAGCAAAAAAAGGAGAAGGACGTTTCTTGAGCAGCTTGTAACCTTTTCATCCAGCCCTGCAGAAGGCAGTGCTGATACACTCAGTGAGTGCAGCAGGAACTCCTCCTATCTCAGAGGATAGGTACAAATTGGTGCTGAATTGTTTATTTTTGAAAAGCAGGAGCCCAACTCTTATTAACATATCAATATGCCTCTTCTAAAGAGCTCGATATGCTTTGTAAAAGCCATTTTGAAAGCGGGTGATAAGGAGAGCTGTCTAATAGCAGAACGCTTCTGAAAATGCCTTTACTTAGGGCTTGAATAAAGAGTAATGAAATACAAATCTCTTACCTCTTCTGTCAGAGTTACCTGCAGAAAAAGAAAACAGAGGTCTCTTAGCAACCAACATTTTCCTAAGTGAGGATCAAAGACTGAAATAGCAACAAATGTAGTAACTGTCACCGTCTCCTTGCAAATCTTTTTATTAAAATATCTGCTCCCGAAGCCATGATATGGAAATGCATTTCAGCTTTCCCTCAGTCGTAAGAAAAAAGGTATAAAATGCACATTTGTAGCTTTGCTGATTAGAAGGAGAAACCTGAAAATTTATGACTTTACTTTTTGGTCTGTGAGCCACTGGGAGAAGCATTTCCTATTTTTCTCCTTTTCCATCTCCTGAGCAGCACTTAATGCTCTGATGACTGCTTTCCAAATTTCCCATTAAGATGAATGGAAAAGGCAGCCCTAAAACTAATTTTGCTCTTTGACAAATCACTTGAAATAAAGCAAGAATCAGCTTGGGCATTTGTTTTAGGGACTGACAGCAAGAGAGAAGCCTTGCTGATTCCATGGCCAACTCGCTGCAGTGCACAAGGAGTAACCAAGTCACAAAAACTGTGGAGGGCTTGGGGCTGAGGAGCAAACTGGATGAGTTCAGCAGTGTTCTGTGGGCCGTGAACGTCCTTCAGCCTCAATCTCAATGCCAACAGCAAAGACAACGTGATGGCAGACTCACCAGGCTGCAGTTCCCAGAAATGCCCAAAGGAAAAGGGTGCACTCAGCACACAGATGTACAGAGGAGCTTAGATCACCCCAAACTCCACATGCCTGGCAGTCACCTCTGCGATGTGCCAAGAGGGCAACGACAGCAGGGTGACCATATGGACATCTGTTCATCCAGATCCTTGAAAGATTAAAGCAGCCCAAGGTAAGGGATAAAAACTGCTAACAGAGGCGTTGTTGGATCTGCTGGGAAATGCAAAATTGAGACATTCAGTGCATGGAACAGCCTGATCGATGGCAGCTCTCTAGGAGCTGTTGGATGTCGGGGGGAAGTTCTTGACAGAAAGAGTGGTGAGGTGCTGGAACAGCTGCCCAGAGAGGCTGTGGATGCCCTGTCCATCCCTGGAGGTGTTCAAGGCCAGGGTGGATGGGGTCCTGGGCAGCCTGGGCTGGTATTAAATGAGTTTGGAGACCCTGCATGTGGCAGAGGGGTTGGAGATTGCTGATCCTTGAGGTCCCTTCCAACCCTGGCCATTCTGTGATTCTGTGATATCTAGTCTAAGCCTTAAATCTGTCATGACAGGGACTGCTTTCTTGTGTCTGTCCATGTGCAGTGCTAAAAAGCATGCCTCGAGCCCATGGCTGGTGTCAAAGTGCAAATAACTGCTTTGTGGAGCAGCAGTACGAATAACCCAAGCTCTGTAGCTGATCAACATCCCAAAGTCATTTATTACTATTGCTTACACAAACCTGTTGAGGACCAACTTTACAGCCAGCACCTGGAGTCTGGGTGCCAGCCCTGTTTTGTGGTTCCAAGAAACTACAAAAGGCAATGAAATTCATCTGTGACAGAAGTGGAATGAGATTGTACAGTCAGGTACACCCAACATCTTGGCAAGAAACTGCAGCTTTCAGAATCAGAATCACAGAATCACAAAACGGTGCAAAAAGTGTACAGTCACTCTCCATCTTTTTTATCAACTCCCTTTACATTCTAAAAGGCCCCAAGGAGGTCTTCCTGAAGCCTTCTCTTCTACAGGCTGCTCTCTGTAGACTGGAACAGGCTGCCCAGGGAGGTGGTGGAGTCTCCTTCTCTGGAGATGTTCAAGACCTGCCTGGATGCCTACCTGTGCGACCTGCTGTAGGGAACCTGCTTTGGCAGGGGGTTGGACTTGATGATTTCTGGAGGTCCCTTCCAACCCCTACAATTCTGTGGTTCTGGGACTGTTTTTTTCCCTTGTTTGAACTAAGGAGAGGATGGATCTTTTTGCACTTACTCACTTCAGCGTATCATATTGTTACACACTACCATGGAACTTGCCCCAAAGTGTCTTCTCGTTCCTATTTGCTCAGCAAAACAAGAGAAGATGAAGAGGCTGGATGTTAGGAAACATTTCTTCTCGGAAAGAGCAGTCAGGCAGTGGCACAGCTGCCCAGGGAGGTGGTGGGGCCACCATTGCTGGAGGTGTTCAAGGACCGTGGAGATGTGGCACTGAGGGACGTGGTTATGGGCATGGTGGGGATGGGGTTGGACTTGGGGATCTTAGCAGTCTTTTCCATCCTTAATGATTCCATGATTCTATTCCATGAAACATGCCCACAGTTAGGGCAGCCTGGACAAACAGAGGTGTGCCAATTGGATGGGGCCAGGCTCTTTTTGGTGGTGCTCTGAGACAGGACAAGGGGCAATGGGAACAAACTGGAACCCGAGAAGTTCCATCTGAGCACGAGAAAGAACTTCTTGACTTTGACAGTGACAGAGCCTTGGCACAAACTGCCCAGAGAGGTGCTGGGCTCTTCTCTAGTGATACTCAAAACCTGCCTGGCTGCCTTCCTGAGCAACCTGCTGTGCAGAACCTGTTTTTTGGGGTAGGTTGGAATGTGACAACTCCAGAGGTGCCTCCAACTCCTACAGCTCTGTGATTCTGTGATCCTATGAGCACGGCACCTACCGTTGTGGGATGCAGAAGAGGTCTCTTGCGTCGTCACCGTCGCGCTGACGTTCCTCTCGGTCGTCTCCGCTTCTGTGCTGGGCAGTGCAGTGTGCGGGGCAGACGGTGTCACGCTGGGTGGCAGAGAGATGGCCACAGAGGCAGAGGTGGGCACTGATGCCCCTGGAGTGGAGGCATTGAGGCTGGCAGTGGTGGTATTGGGGGAGATGCTGGTGGCTGTGGTTGTAGGAGGCTCCGACGCCGGGGTAGAAGTGGTCATCGGAGAGCTAACGGTGAGGCTGCTCACTCTCAGCGTCGTCCCACCATCAGGAATTGCTGTAGGAGCTTTGGTGGGGATCCTGGTGGAGGTGGGCACTGTTGTGGGTGGCTCTGTGAGGATGAGGAGCACAAAGGAGAATCCGTAAGTTACTTTTCTGGAGGATTTATATGCTATAGATTTGTGCTGCTGTAACTACAAGCAGAAAAACAACCAACACATCTCAAGTCTAGGAGAGAGAGCACTTTGCACAGCACGGTGATGCCAGTCTTACAAAAGCAGCTCACATACTGTGATGTAGGGAAGGAATAAGAAATAGTGCCCCTGTAAGAGAGGATCGATGTTTGCCATGGGAAAAACCTGCAGGTCCCATCTATGAGCACCTGCAGTTTGCCAACCTTGCAGCACAACTAACAGAAGGGGTGAGTCACAAGAACAAGAGCATTTCCTCCTTCCATCCTGAAGAGGATTCAGGGGCAGAAGAGAGGAGACAATAAGCAAGGTTTACCTGTTGTGACATTGTTAGCACCTACGCTGATCAGGCCACTTCCAAGCAAAAGGACAAAGAACCATAGATCCATGTTGACCTGAGAAAAAGAGCAAAAAAAACCACTTATTTGAACTGTTATCCCAAACTAATTCACACTGGGGATGCTGCTGTGTAAAGCTGGAAGGGACGAGTGAGCGTGTGGATGTAGTCACTGTATGCACGTGGATGGAAGGATTTATCTGGATGTTCATACATCCCCACCTGGAGAAGGAAATCAGCAGGGAGTTGATGTAACAGTGCACACGTCAGAGTGCCATGATGAAACCTAAATGCAATACACAGCAAGGAGCTGTGATCCTAAAGGCACAAAAGAGGGGAGGTTGGCTCACCTCCCCCCATCACCCATCTCCAGGACACCCACATCCCCTTTTTCACATTGCACTCAAGCACATGGTGGAGGTTTGTAGGTTATTCTGGATTTGGGGAAGCCTAATTCAAAGCCCCAAACAGCCATCCTACAGAGAATAACCCAAAGCAATCTGCAAGCTCTGCCTGTGCTGTGCATGCATTGTGCCGTGCATTTCTTCCCAGGAAGCGTCCTGAAAAATTAAATTACAGGATGATGACATCAGTAAAATTGTTTTTTTTCCCAGAACAATCCCCAACCTTTCTCCCTCAGCCCTTTTAAATGCATGCTCAAAGTTTTTTAACGGCGTTTGTTGCTTGTTTCTTCCTTCCAAAAAGCTCCTAAGAAACGGGTATGGTTATCTGCTCTGAAACAGGTATGGATCCAGAGGCAATCAAAAGTATGAGGTCAGATATCATCATCCAGCCCCAAGCTTGCAAGCCCCTGAAACAGCCCTTCCAGAAAGGGCTTCATTCCTGCAATCCCTCCTTCCTCTTTCATTCACCCTGCCTTGTTTGCTCTCGTCGTATCGATTCAAATATGCTTCACTTGAGACCCATCCCAAATTCTGGGCAAGGGGACAAGGCTGATGTCATGAAAGATGCAGCCCCACCAGCAGCATCCTCCCACCAGCACCACCCGCCTACATTCTTCGCCTCCCTCCTAACGAAGACATGGCAAAAATGGAAGTGATCAGTGGAGAACATTGCTGGCAGCACGGGGTTCCTTGTTGTTAGACCCAGGATGCAGCTCATCCTATGCCCACACTGCACAGGGAGGAGGGGTTCTTGCTTAGCTTGGGGAAGGGAAGGCTCTGAGGAGACCTCATTATGGCCTTCCAATACTTGAAGGGAACGTATGAACAGGAAGGGGAATGGCTGTTCACGAGGGTGGATAGTGATAAGACAAGGGGGGGTGGTTTTAAACTGAGACAGGGGAGGTTTAGGTTGGATATTAGGAGGAAGTTTTTCACACAGAGGTGGTGAGGCACTGGAACAGGTTGCCCAAGGAGGCTGTGGATGCCCCATCCCTGCAGGCATTCAAGGCCAGGCTGGATGTGGCTCTGGGCAGCCTGGTCTGCTGGTTGGTGACCCTGCACACAGCAGGGGGTTGGACTAAATGATCACTGCAGTCCTTTTCAACCCAGGTCATTCAGTGATTCTATGATTCACATGGGCTCTGCACATCCCACAGTGAACCCATTCTTGGAGAAACACATCTTAATCACTTCCAAACCCTTGTTAAGAGTTTGAATGATGTGAGCTGGCTCTTGTTGGTGAGAATCCCCATGAATGGCAATCTGTGCCATCTCCTGCTTCCTGGAGGCAGACAGGGACAGGCTGGGAGGAAAGGCTGGATATTAGGAAACATTTCTTTTCCCAATGAGTGGTCAGGCAGTTGGCAAAGGCTGCAAAGGGAAGTGGAAGAGTCCCCATCCCTGGAGGTGTTAATGAACCATGGAGATGTGGCACTGAGGGATGTGGTGGGGATGGGTTGGGCACTGCAGAGCTCTTTTCCAACCTTAACAATTCTGTGATTCCTGGACCAGCCCATGGCTCTCGCTGGAAAAGCCCGGAAAAGACAAGATGGGTGATGCTCTGCTGAGTGAAGAGACATCAGCAGTGAGGTACTGCCTGCCCCTCCAGCCCCCAGCATCGTGTGAGGGGGAAATGGCACCAAATAATTGCATTTTGCTGAGCTTTGGCCTGGTTTTATAAAGAAAGCAAAATGCAGGTAGGCCTGGGTAAGCTCTAAGCAGAGAGGTGGTGGGTGCCCCATCCCTGGAGGTAATGCAGGACAGGGCTCTGAGCACTGATGGAGCTGTGGGTGTCCTTGATCACTGCAGGGAGTGGGACCAGATGGCCTTTAAAGGTCCCTTCCAACTCAAACCATTCTATGATTTGATGATTCTAACAGTTTTTAAGGCTTTATGACAAGGCTGTGAATATGAAAAGCAAAAGGAGCCCAAGCAGCCCCTAGGGCATCACCAGCTCATCAAACAAAACCCCTGGAGCTGCTCCTGTTCCTGGCCATCAGCTGTTTTATCACTGTAAAAATGGATCTGGAGGAGAAAGCAAGTACAAAATCCCCATGGCAGGGCCAGCTCTGCCCCAGCCTCTGCTCTCTGCATCCTCCCAATCCCCCAGGGCAGCCCAAACAAATGCCAGCGGTTCGCCGTGCCCAGTTCCTAACATGACAAAAAAAGGGCCTCCAGAGCCCTACCCCAACGCTGGAGCAACTCGAGCCTCCCTTCCCCCCCTCCCCCCTCTGCTCCCTCCCTGCTGATTCGGAAACAGGGAGGAAATACTTGTAATGTTATCAACATAAACACAGCTCTTGGCCGGCTGCGGCATCCTGTGAGCGCTGCAGAAAAACACCCTGACGTCATGTCTCGGGCTCTGCCAAGGAGGAGCTGGGTTTGCTGGGAATGGGGAACTATCGGCGAGCAGAAGGGTTGGCTGGAGGTGCTCCCAGAAAAGCAGGAGGGGTTTTGTGCCCCGGGATTGGAGGAAGGTTGGGTTTGGGCTGCAGGATTGTGAAAACAAGGAGATCTCGTTCAGGCGATCGGCAGCGGGAGGGGGAGAAGATAAAAAAGGCAGCAGGAGCTTTGCAATGTAACAAGTGGTGGTGGTTTGTGCTGAGCTCGGCGAAGCAGCTCCCAGTAGGGTTAGACAAGAGCAAGTGCAAAAGGAAAGGGTGGCAGAGAGCCATGAGAATAGCTCAGCTGTGCTGGAAGACAATCTTGCCGCTCCCTCCGCTCCCTGTCCCCTCCTGCTGCTCCTTTACATTGCTGGAGCAGCGGGTTTGTGCGCCGTCTGGCCTCTCCCTCCAGCCCCGTGCAATGTCTGCCATCTCACTCCATCCTTTTGCAAAGCAGAGAAAGCTGACAAAGGGAGGAGGAGAGCTCTGGGTTGGCCCGCTGGGATCAGGCTGGTCCGACTGCAGAGTGCTTTCGCAGCACCGATTCCCGTCATCCCCAACTTCTGGCTTTGCAGCAGGCTGTGTTACAGCAGAGTTGGCCATCGCGGGACAGGAGCTGCTGCTCGTGGTGCTGTGCTACCACGGGGTGACTAATCCTCTGCATGCCTCCCCAAAGCTGGAGTGAAGGCTTTGATGTGTCACTGAGCATTATTCCCTCACCCCACCCTCTGCTTTTCCACTCTTGAACAGAAAAGATGAATCACAGCGACTATTTACCCTTAAAACACACTTGTTCGTTCTTCCTTTCTTCCTCCTTCCTTCCTTCCTTCCTTCCTTCCTTCCTTCCTTCCTTCCTTCCCTCCTTCCCTCCTTCCTTCCCTCCTTCCCTCCTTCCTTCCCTCCCTCCTTCCTTCCCTCCTTCCTTCCCTCCTCCCTCGCTCCCTCCTTCCCTCCCTCCCTTCCTTTCTTCTCTTTTCTTCCTTTCTTCCCCCCACCCCCTAAAGGGGGTCTTTCTGCCCTGCTTTCCCTGGAGCAGCGGTACCAATGCTGAGAAGGATGAGCTCAGGGCTTTGCTTTCTGCATCATCCAGCACCTGCCCAACCTTCCATGGATCTCCACATCCTAAATTCCCACTCTCCATTCACTACAACGGAGTGTTCTTTCAAAGCAAGACACAGCAATCTCAATGAATGTGCATAGAAGGGGTAATTAGGGACCCCAATCCCACCTGGTTTTCTGGGGTGCAGAAAGCCTTTGTGCTGTCAGAGTGATGCTAAAAGGCTCTTCTGCTGCTACAAAGTGCAAATCTCCAAGTCTCAGCCTCACCTACTGCTGCACAGCCTCACAAATGGGCTTTTTAACTCCCCAAATGAATAGCCTATAGCAAGGGGACCAACACTGAGAGCAGCACTCGAGGTGCAGCCTCGCCTGTGTCAGTGCAGCAGGATGCACCCCTCCTGCTCCTGCTGCCTGCACTACTGCTGCCACAAGACAGGATGCCGTTGGCCTTCCTGGCCACAAGAAGAGGGAACCACAGGACAGGGGAGTCTTAAAGCTGAGAAAAGGTAAAACATGGAGAAAAATGGGAAACATGGGATGGAAGAGAGCTGTCGGAGATGGAGATGGAGGACTGGAAAGCAAAGAGCACATCCTTACAGGCAGGAGTGGGGCTGCGTGACCCCAGCTTGATTCTCCAAAAACTGGAATAAAGAACTCAAATTTCACCGGACTGTTTACCGTTTTAAAGATCATATTTTAAGGTTTCTCCTTTGTTCCAGGCAGCATTTGTAATAGAGAGAAAGCAATAGGAAGATGCGTCTCATCTCGCTGCTGATTGTCAAACCGGACCAATTGCTTTTGGTTTGGGAGCCAGGATGAAGCACAGCCATTATGATACATTTCGGAGAGCGAGCACGCAGTGCATGGGGAGGGAAAACAAGAAAACACCGAAATAAAACAACCGAAGGCAAACGCTGCACGGATCTGAGCTACGCTGCAAGCTGATCGAGCGCTGGGCAGCCGCAGGCACAGCATCCTCCTTCACACAACGGTGTTGGAGGGGATCGTTCCCACGAGAGCTTTAAGATCTCCTCCTGGACGCTGAGCTGCCAGCTTAGCACCGCTCGGCGACGCGGCGCTTTGTGCTTACCCTGAGCGCGGCCGGGACGACGGCGAGGAGCCGGAGCGGGGAGCAGCCCCTGCCAAAGCCCAATCCTGATATACCTGCGGTGGTTCTGCACCGCTCAACGGTTCAGCCCTGTTGCCACAGT